ACACTCAGGTCAGCCAGTACGACTAAACAAGAAATGTGACCCGACTCTTTAATCCAGTCCTTTTATATCATCAGAGTTTTTTTACCCAACTAATGGTGTGATCATCCTATGGATTGGTTTCTGAGCCATTACCAGCTGAGTGAATTGGAAAGATCAATGCCTATAAACAGAAACCTAGGACTGGAACAGTGACTTGATGTGCCATTAGACCTAAGCCTCGGTGTTTTGTACCATAACAGACATTTACAGTATTACATTACTTTTAAAATATGGCTAATTGAAAGGCAGAATAATTTAGCTGCTGTGTATGTTGTAGGGGTCTTATGACAAAAGCTGGAAAAATGATAAAAATATTGAATGGAGAGAGAATTCTCGAGTAGAAAAAACGGACATTTCGAGCATGGAAGCTGAGCCCCTTGAATCTGGGCTGTTGTTGAGTGCAGTAGAATGTTGTAGACAGCTCTGACTCACCCCAGCAGATAAATCACAGTAACAACATGGAAAAAGCTTCAGGGAGTTTTGAAGAATTAGCATACTATACTGTTTTTATCTAGTCTTATCTGCCAAAGTTTACTTTTCTCAAGCTCAACTCAAATGCCAAGAAGATTGTGCATCACTTTCTGTGTTAGACCAGGGGAGTCTGCTCTAGAAATGGCACAGTCTGTGGATTTTTATATACAGTCATTATTCTCAGACTTCACACATCTCATATACCAAACTTTTTATTATTTGAACAATAAAAATTTTCAGTGCTGCATGGGAATNTGAGTGTAACAACCACAACCTGTTACACCTAACACACTTATAGTAACAACCACAACCTGTTACACCTAACACACTGAGTTTAACAACCACAGCCTGTCACATCTAACACACTTATAGTAACAACCACAACCTGTTACACCTAACACACTTATAGTAACAACCACAACCTGTTACACCTAACACACTGAGTGTAACAACCACAGCCTGTCACATCTAACACACTTATAATAACAACCACAACCTGTCACACCTAACACACTGAGAGTAACAACCACAACCTGCTACAGTTACCACATGTTCAACTAGTTATGCTCTCTGAAGAGAACATGGATACCAGTATGTACCCCTTAAGCATCCTTAAATGAGTTCAAAGAATGTGTTTTGGCTACTGAACGGCTAAGATAACTGAGACATGTGGTAATCCATAGGTATGTAATATTTCATCTTTGTCTCTATTATCTCTGTGAGGTAAGGTGATATATCATGAAGAATTGTCTGTGGTTATAAAGATTTTCCTGTACATTTTACTAGTAAGATGTTATATAGGAAGTAAAGTAGGAAAGATAGATAGATTAGTTTTTCTAGCAGGTATGTTCAAATAAGAGCTTTGCAGGTTGCATTTTTAATCTTATCTTTTTATTCATTTTACATCCTTATGTAGAGATACTGGCAAAGTATTGCTAGTACTAACAAAAACAAAAGTGAAAATAACACTTTATGTTAACAACATACATAGTTGATCTACCTAAGGATCAAATAAGCTTTATATTTGGTGATATAGTTGGTTTCTCTTAATAATTATTTTGTAAATTGTAAATTATTTTGAAATTTTATTTATTTACAGGTATACTAATGCTTCTTATGAGTGATGGCAAGACAAGCATCCAAACAAACATGGGAATGCCCAGTGAGATATAGTTATTGTTATTAACTACTCTGATTATTCTTGTCTTCAGATTGACTACCCTGATGTCCAGTTAATGAAAGCGGGTCAAGGTCGACAACCAGCCTGTCCTGTGCCAAACATGGAGAAATACATGTCCCTAGAGGGCAGTGATGAATACAAGATGGGCCGAGGCAGGGGAAACATGGCAGAGGGCCCTCTGGACCAGGTATATGAGAGAGAGAGAGAGAGAGAGAGAGAGATGCTATTTGTGTGATTGATAATTCTAGGCTCATGCAGGCATTATACATTTTCCCCAGTTGTCAAGGCATATTTCTGTGGATAAACAATTTTAACAAGATTTTATTAAAATTATTTAGAAAAAAAAAAAATAAATGTATATAAAAGGAGGCAGAGTCCAGATGTAGTAGTATATAATGATTGAGATGTGCACTTCTAATTGTGTTTGCTCCTGATGGTTGAGGAAGATGAACAGGCAGTTATGTTGGATGTGGATAGTCCCATTCAGAGTGACTTTGGCTATAGTTAGATAGTTTACAAAAAATGAATGCCGACCCCCCACCCCCACCCTGCAGGTTAGTGCATGATGTAATGCAGTCATCCTGTAGCTGATTAAAAGTGTAGTTAAAGGGATAATAACTCTTCGTTTTGGCCAAAAAATGAATTTTCCTGGAGTAAACAATAATTTTTCCATACTTACCAATGGTTAATGAATCCATTTTTACATTCAAAGTTAGTCCCTGGTTTTTTTCTAAAAAGTTTGGTTTTTTGTTAAAATCTCTTAAGAGATTATAACAGAGTACAGCCATCAATGGAGGTCACGTGATCTGAAGACAAGCTCAGATATCAGAATAATAGCTATAACTGCAGTTTGTGTGGTAAAACAGAATATATTATATTTCTATGAGATGTTCGCAATGTTTTTTTTGTGAAATATAGATATCATACAAAGAGTTATTATCCCTTTAATCATGTTTGGATTTACTTATACATTAAGCATTTGCTTCCCATTTGAAATACTTTGCTCATCAAAACAGGTGAAATCGGATTAAAAAACAAAGTCACAGAATTCCAGTTGGATTTTCCTTTTTAGGCTCTGTCCAAAATTAGTTTCTATCTAATTTTTGTATCCAGATTTCATTTACTGGATAATTTCCCATCCATTGCCTATATTGTAATCATGTATTGATATGCCACTGTCTGCTCATGAGAATTCCCTCACTCGGACTGAATCAATAAAGTTCTATAGTGTGCTTCAGAATCATTCATCTTCTGCTAATTTCACAGGGAGAACCTTGTGAGAGATTGCTCTTAAGGTGTTAGAAAGGTCTTTTCAAATTCTAAGCTAAAGTTCCATTGTCATGAAATTAGAGACCAAGATTGCTCCAAAGTAATCTTGTTTTGCGGACTTTTCTTCTTTAAATTAGTGTAGACCAAAAGACATTGTGATTGAAAAAACCTTAAAAACCTAATAATGATCTCATAAATTGTGCGACCTGCGAGACAAAATTAATTTTGTGCCTTAAAGTGGAGAAAATTACTGTTCAGCTCTTAGAGATGGTAGTTCTCATGGAGTGGTATGCAAACACTTCAACATTGATTATTTTAAATCATATTTGAGACGTTTTGTCTTATCAAGGGATTGCTTAAATTGTTATATACGGTTATGTGTTTAATTGGGGTAAGTTCCTGAGGGTTTGCAGCATTCTTAATCTGAAACTCATCATTTTTATTGGCCTTGCAAGAAAAAAGTCAATGTAATATGTAGTCAGTCTTTATGCCTGAAGAATCAATACGATTTTAAACTAAAAAAAAAAAAGCATTCAGAAAGTGCAGGCCTCTACAGTTCAATTCTCAATATTATTAATAAATCCATGAATCGCCACCAAAATTCAATCAATTTTAAGTTAGCTAATTTCTGACCTATCCTGAACAATTTCCAAAATCAATCTTTAACTTTTTTAGTTATACTGTTAATTAACAAACCAAGAAAGGCAACAATGTAACATAACACCAAGGCTTGTGATTAAGATTTCTAACCATTGAAAGTTTTATCTTATCCCTCTGTTGTACCTCCAATTATTAGTATAAGTGAAATGAGGCATTTGCCATAGGATTGATTAGTAATGTTAGAAATCATAATATCACAGTGTACAGCAGTTTAAAACACTCAGGTCAGCCAGTACGACCAGACAAAAAATGTGACCCCACTCTTTAATCCAGTCCTTTTATATCATCAGAGTTTTTTTACCCAACTAATGGTGTGATCATCCTATGGATTGGTTTCTGAGCCATTACCAACTGAGTGAATTGGAAAGATCAATGCCTATAAACAGAAACCTAGGACTGGAACAGTGACTTGATGTGCCATTAGACCTAAGCCTCAGTGTTTTGTACCATAACAGACATTTACAGTATTACATTACTTTTAAAATATGGCTAATTGAAAGGCAGAATAATTTAGCTGCTGTGTATGTTGTAGGGGTCTTATGACAAAAGCTGGAAAAATGATAAAAATATTGAATGGAGAGAGAATTCTCGAGTAGAAAAAAACGGAAGTTTCGAGCATGGAAGCTGAGCCCCTTGAATCTGGGCTGTTGTTGAGTGCAGTAGAATGTTGCAGACAGCTCTGACTCACCCCGGCAGATAAATCACAGTAACAACATGGAAAAAGCTTCAGGGAGTTTTGGAGAATTAGCATACTATACTGTTTTTATCTAGTCTTATCTGCCAAAGTTTACTTTTCTCAAGCTCAACTCAAATGCCAAGAAGATTGTGCATCACTTTCTGTGTTAGACCAGGGGAGTCTGCTCTAGAAATGGCACAGTCTGTGGATTTTTATATACAGTCATTATTCTCAGACTTCACACATCTCATATACCAAACTTTTTATTATTTGAACAATAAAAATTTTCAGTGCTGCATGGAAATACTTTCTGAACTGAATCCCACTCTCTATGTACAATTTTTCATGCAACCATTCAGAAATAATGATGGGAACACTATGCTTGGAAATGTAATTAATCAGTAAGTCTGACTTTGTCGAGATATTACCGTATTCATCATTTTATGCAGCACTGCAATTTGGCTGTAAATTTTACCTTAATCTGTTTATTTTCTCACTATATTGTCACATCCCATGAGAAAATAATTAATTGCCGGGACTAGCATAAGGGGAGGTGCTTGAGGCTAAAAAACTCAGTAATTGGCAACTGAATCCTCCCAGCCAGAATACATAGTATGTGATGCCTTGAATCGTAATAGCTGATATTATTATTATTATCCCCTGTTTCTCCCTTTGATTTATAGTGGACCAGCCAATATTTCATAACAGAGCACAGGCTGCGCTGAGAAGCCAGTCAATATCCCGATGCTTTATTATTATCATTAAGGGAGTTGGTTCAAGGAAATTCACGTCTGTGTGCATCTCGTCTGTTCAGGACCTTTCGAGAGCCCTGCAGGTCTTGGCTGAGGACTACAGTGTTTATAGGAAGGCTGGAGATCCTAGAGAAGGTCTCTTAGTGGCTTTGCGCTGTATTATTTCTTTGATGCCTGAACCAGTGTTACTACATTTTGCTCTGTGTTCTGGAGAGATTGCAGTTGTGAGTTTGTTTGTGCTGGAGAAAAACTGCTGAGATGATAATAACTATTCATCACTGCTGAAAATATTTTTCTTCCTGTGAAAAAAGTTGATATTGATTCTGCGGCTTCATGGGATTATTTCCACATCGACTTCAGTGAAGGGGTACAGACAAATACAGACAGGAGAACCAGTCTTATTTACATTTCTCATTGTTTATTGGCATCTGTCAATGTTACCATTTCAAGGCCAAGGGTACTATTGGATTGCTACTGTCTGTCACACAATTTTCTGCTTTGCTACTATTACTGTTGAAGTTATGCTCTAATTTGATTGGACTCCATTTTATTTAATTTTTTCATTCACCTAAAGAAGTGGTCAGGATTAAGCTCTCTTATGTACTTTTACAGCCCATCTTTCGTGTGTGTTAAACCTTTCTAGTCCTCAGCCAAGATTTGACCACAAAAGCATTATAAATTACTTATCCTAGACTCTTCGTGGTAATTCAGAATACTTTCTGAAGATTTCCAAGAAGATTACAACCTCCTTTTCATAGACCAATAGATAAAAGCTGCAATTCAGTTGCAAAAGCCTCTACGAAATTGATCATCATGGGATTAGACAGTTTCATCAAAGACTTGTAATGGCAGTGTCTGGCTGCGCCAAAGTCATTGGCAACCTTTTTCACACACTGGCAACCTTTCCAGTCAATACTGAAGTGATTAGTATGTTTAAGTTTTCTTGGCTAATGTTTCAAGAAATGTGTTAGCGGATGCTCAAGGCCCATTGTCTTTCATATTTATGACATTGGCAGGTATATTACGAGAACATTACAGCAGAGAGAACAGTTTCCCAGCTAAGAGATGTTTTAAAAATTGTTTGAAGACGAAGATGTTGAGTCACGTCACCAGTGTGTCAGAACTTGACACAAGGTCAAAGATGATATAAGATTATAGAAGATGCTGTGCCAATGAAGAAAGATTTCTGTTGTATACAGGTATACATCCAGCTGATAACTAGAAGTAGATCAGTGTGCTCAAATTGCAAGGATATCCTTTTTGAAGATACGGATGATAGCATATAACAAGACAAGGCTGTAGAGCAAAGGATTTAAAGGACATATGCTTGGAGTAATAACACAGAGGGCGTCAAGTAGGCAGATCAGTTAAATGAGACACATTTCTTAAGATTTTAGAGTCGTGACGAGACATTAGGAAACCAGCAGCATGTTTGTCGTTGTGGTGGTGCTGACATTTCTGGCAACTGTTCTCTATGCCCTTCTTCATCGTATCAACTTCTTTGGCTTTCAACTTTGTGGAAAGACCTCTGCGGCTTTGGACATGGCACCCGCTCTTCCTTGTGGAAAAAATGCTGCAACTTTGGACATGGGGCCCTCATTTCCATGTTCAACATTACAGCCACCCACTCCTGTACTCCTTGAAGAACCCCCAACTGACTTCTCTTTGCCAGCAATAGTTTTACCGCGAGATTTCACAACCTTGGATGTCATCCATGATGGAGAGGAGGCAGATGTGGAATCATCTGAGCTGTCAGAAAGTGAAGACGACCTGCTGTTTAATGTAAATACAAGCATGGCGGTTTGGGTTGCACTGCGTTAGGTGTGAGCGTGTTGGGTGTGACAGTGTGTTGGGTGTGACAGTGTGTTGGGTGTGACAGTGTAAGGTATGACAGCCTAATAGGTGCGTCAGGTTTAGCAAGGGCACTGACTGAGTAAAATGTTTATTTAACATGTATAAAATCTCTTCCGGTCACTAAAACGTATAGCTTAAAAAGATTTTAGCATTTAGTACAAGGTTATGTTATTAGTTCAGTATGTTAGGTTCAAATGTCAATCACCTTTTTCCAAGGGCTTGATAATTTTATAAATAAATTACATGCTTTCTCAGATCTGGCCAGCTTTAATTTTAGTAATGCTGTGTTGTTTTGAATGGTAAACAAGAGTGTACTGAGGTTATTGAGCCCTCCTTTCACTATGCCTTGATGTATCCTAATGTACATAGGAGGCTGAGAATGTTCAGCTTATTGGCACTAAATCATCTTATATGTATCTGCAGCAAGTATTTTCCAGGAATGTCTAGTGTTATCCACATTCTCTGAACACATTTATAATATTCACTGATAGCCCTTATATCTCCAGTGCCTAGTAGTCTGCAGAAGTGTACTTAGTGGACCGTGGCATGAACTTGGTCTTGGTGCAACTGTTGAGGAGTTCTGTGTGCACATTCAGGAAAGATTTCCCCACCTTCTTCTTCTCCTCTCTCTCTCTCTCTCTCTCTCTCTCTCTCTCTCTCTCTCTCTCTCTCTCCNNNNGGTTGTGGCCAGACAGGTTATATATATATATACCTCATTGTTAAAACCAATGCAGGTCTGTCATGGAGTCTAAAGGCAATCCTCATGCAATGTTTATGTGGCTATGTGAGTCACAGAGTACTGATGCCTATCTCTTGATCTGAGACAAAGAAGAGAATCCCTCGCCTACACACAATGTCCCCTCAGTGTATGATCCCAGCATTAAAATACCTGCTGTAATGTTAAAGTGACCGTGTCATGTCTGCGGACCATTGGTCATCTTATGGTATAGGTCAGTGAGTCTGGGTGCTGGAGGTGTAATAGTGTCCATTTTCCATCCATTAACTGTGTAATCTCATTAAGAGGTCAGCTGAAGGTGGACCTCCCCGGTTAGTCATCAAAATACAGGTGTTAAGGAAGACAGTCAGACTTAATGGGATGAGACTGACTACACACCTTTATTTTCTGTATCACAAGACCAGGGCCCATAGTACACACAGACTGGGGTAGTGGAGACAGCCAGAGTTAATGTGATTATATATAGAGATAGATTTACCTGTGTCTACCTGGCCTGTCCAGTTTAGGGCAGCCTTAAGTCTTGTGACAAGGTGTGAAGTCACAGCTGGGGTGAATGTGTTGGTGTTTATAACAAGTTACCTGTCAACTGGATATACAAAGAGTGGAGTCAGTTTTAAAACTTAACACTCTGGATGGTCAGTGGACTTAGTAATATTTGGATGGTCAGTGTGATATAGTGACTGGACACAGGTTGACCAGTGGTGGGAGAAGAACTAGGACAGGAATTGTTTACAATATGGTGGTTGGTTTTTCAGGACGATGCACTGTAAAACAGGTGGGTGTAGGGAGACAGTGGGTCAGTTCTACACAGGTGTTTTCTTGGACATTTATAATTATGATACCCACATGATGGCTTTACTGGACAGTGGGTCAGTTGAGATACTGTCCTAACTCTCAGAGAAGTGAGGTGTATGTCAGGTGATATGGGGCAGGGGATGGGGTGGTGTAAACAGTGTCTCCCCTCCAGAGAGGTGGCTTACACTGGGGAAGTCTTCACCAGTCTCTGTGTTAAATTGATTGTTTCATTACAATGCCTGTTCTGACCAGATTTAATAGAGATTTCTCAATAGAGGTTCCCCAGTCTTTCAAGACTTTGTTCTAGGTCTTGCCCAGTCAGTATCAAGTTATTGTCCATTCTGTAGAGATTTTATTAAGATTCTCCAGACTTAATTAGAAAATTTGACCACTTGATTTCAAGTAATTGTCCATTCTGTAGGGATTTGATTAACATTCTTCATTAGCCAATAAGTTTTTTTGGTCTAATTTCCAATAACCCCATCTGTCATATGATTTAATGTCACTTTATATTGTACATTATGATTTATTTCTTTGCATGATAGATCCATATTTCCCTAACCATTCGTATGTGCAGTGTTTTGATGACAAATAAGAGCATAGAGCATTTATATGGTTATTGGATGACTTTTACCTTGAATAGAAGTAACAAAGTGAAATGAATGAAATATAAGATGAATTCTACACTGATAAATACTCTGGTTTTGAATTGTGTGAGGACTGCTATGATGTACAGGTTGTTTGGTCAAACCTCCGTGACTCACTGAAAAACCTTAGCTAAGACAAGCCCATATGGCATATTTAGATCCTTTGTTATATATCTCTCTATAATTACATTTGATACGGAAAAATATTAATTTTGCTCTCAAATGCAATAAAATACTAATACCATTATAACAAAAATGTCTGATTATATTATAGCCTGCGCATCATTTGATGATTAAGTCAGCAACAACAATCTAATAAAATGAAGGCTTGATTTCCCCTGCTTGACTGGCTTACATACAGTACCTAATAGCCCAGTGATACTGCTGATACTGTAGGTTGTTTATTGAGTTTAGATAATGACATTAATCAAGAGATGACCAGTTTTGAGGGACAGTATACCCACAGCTATTACATTACTATCCTCACTGTTAAGTGGAAGCTGTTGGTACAATATGTGGGATGACCAGCTCCTAATGAGATTGTTTTGCCCAAGAGACTGCTTGATAGGATCTACATTTTACTGGGAAGCCAATGGATTCTTGATTGCATTACAAATCACGGCTATTTTTGGGTTGTTTTTGATAGCAGAGCACTGGTTGCTTATTTCAAATTGAAGAAATATGATCGACGGGAAATCTAGGCTCATGTGGGCTTGTTGAATTTTCCCTTAATGACCAAGATTATGTGCTTTGGCTTTGAAAAATATGAAAGTGTTTGCCAGTCTATTTTTATTTTGATTTAAATTTTCATTTTGGTTCAAATTTCTAGGCTGTTCAAATGAAATGAAACTTATTTTAGAATAAACCTAATTTTCTTACCATTTACATTTTTCTCTCAAAATTGAGAAGCACTGCTCTATTATTGAACCCATGTCATTGTTATAACACTGTGAATTAATTACACCATTGTTTTGATACCACTGTAACCAAATTGTGTTCACTTTATCATACATAAGATCATGGATGGGAAGAATTGATTGAGCATACCATTAGTGTGGTGACTGAATACATTGTTGAACATTACAGCAGTGATAATTATGATGTTGTATTGATCATGTGATTGAACAATGGATTGTGGTATTATTTGCATTTTGAAGTAATGAAGAAAATTAATTACCAACTTTTCATGATGTGTAATTAGGTGGCAGCAGAAGCAAAGATTATTAACAGTGCTTAGGACAATTGTGATTGAAATAGAATACACAAATGATAATATTTGGTACATAGACCCCTTTTAACATTGAAAGGTATACTTCTCTGCATTTTCCTCTTTGGCTATTACTGTCTTTTACACAGGAAAGACACCTTAAGGCACCCACCCCTTGAAACAGCCAATTAGTTAATTTAGCCAGACAGCTAGAATCAAAGTTGTGAAGAAGTTTTGAAAAGGTGTAATTCCCCTGTGGTGTAATTGCATATAAGAACTTGTCAGGGTGGACGCGTCCAGTGAAGTATGGTGCTAACTGTGAAATGAGCTGTCTTCTACCTGCCTGCTTCATTGAAAATCTGGATAAGAGCTATTATAGGATTTTTCAATGTTTTCTTTGTTATGTTTCAGGGGTTTTCTCTGGTGAACTCGTGTTAAGAACTAAATGCTTAGGAATATTATAGCCCTGCAGTATTTTTTTGCAATTTCTGTTTGATGTGCCTGTCTTTATCCCTGTACACCCACTTACCAACCCATATTTCATTAAGAAAACCCTGTGCAGAAGAATTGTATTTCTACCAGCACTTCTATCTGTCCTGCTACTTGTTATAGTATAAAAGCCAGTGTTACACAACCCATAATGTCTCCAGGGACCAGAACTTCCCATAATCCAAGAATCCATTATAAAGCTATTCCTCAAAGGATTATCCAATAATCCCTGTAGTGTGCTGAGGAATTACAGTCCCATCAATGTCTTTTTGCTATTCAGTTTGATGTACCAATCAATATCTTTCCTCAATTCAGTACATAAGAACTGACGCTCCGCTCATAGGCGTTTTGTAGAGGAATGAACATAATTGCCTGTGGCTTTGATTCCGTTTGCTTTTCTGTTTGCTTTGCCGTTTCCGCTGTTAATGATTTTGATTGATGGTCCGCGGCCAGCGATGTAGAAAAAGTTAGGGGCGTTGCTAAAAATACAGCACAGTTAATATTGTCATAGGGTCTGTTTTTATTGATAAAAGAGAATGTAGATATCATAGTATAAGCAGGGTGCATGTCAGTGGGCATTTCATAGATGTATAGGCTTATGAGGCATGAGACTGTGCCCTTCAAATGTATACATTGGTTATCTTGAGTTTTAAAGATTTGCTTTTTCTCTCTTTACTTTGAGTAATCTGATTTGATTTGAATTAATCATCTGTGGCGGAGTGATATGAGTTGATAATTGTGACATGAGCATGGATTACATATACAGAACTCTGTTGTATATCATCTGTAACATCAAACTTAATATGTTTGACCTTAAAGCGGTGATCAAACAGCTTCTGTTGACCCTTGGTGGTCATTGATTAACAAGGTTAAGAATGGCAAGGGTCAACCAGTTCTCATCAATACTAAGTATTGTTATCAAAAATTGCCTCTTAATCAGAAACTAAAACACCATAGTTAGGTAATCCTAATCAAAGTTAAATATATGCTTTCGTTTCCACAGTTGATATATGCCGGGGATTTTTTTTTAATTAAAAATATTTAAAACATTTTGCGCATATCTTTTTTTAGAAACTTAATTTTTTCCCTTATCTGGTGTGATAATATATATATATATATATATATATATATATATATATATATATATATATAAGATAAAGACCAGCAATATGTCAGCTACAAGAACTGAAGCCTGCTTTGATAGTAGTGAATTGTGTGCTATTGAACCTTGTGGTATGAGGAATCACAGACTAAATGTACATATGAGACTTTGTGATCATTGACATAAAACTAAAGTTGCAAAATATTGAATATGCAAGGAAACAAGTAATGTAAAGAAATCTCAAGAAAATGTATGTTTATATGAACAAGAAATTGAAATCCATGGAATGTAAATGATGTAAGAAACAAGACATTCAACATGTACATTTTGTTACATTTTGTTACATTTTGTTACATTTTCAGCTTCCTCAGGAACTACAAGGTGTACAAAATGTTCTGCAACGAAGCGAGCAGTATATGCGCAGCGAACAGTACTTCAAACGCAGCTCGCGTGCCAGTGACACATCCAGCGCGTACTCGGGTTCGGACATGATGCAGTCATCCATAGATGACCAGGACATCGACCTGAGTGGACTGGTAGAGAGCATAGTAGACTCTGATGATGAGGAGGGCTACGCAGAATCTACTGAGGTATTGTCTGATTGGATTACTTTTTAACTTATTGTGGTCTCTCTCTCTCTCTCTCTCTCTCTCTCTCTCTCTCTCTCTCTCTCTCTCTCTCTCAAATGTAAATGTGTTAGCTATGACACAACACAATGGCTTGATTGTGGTTGTCCAATTCTTCAAATTTTGTTTCTATTTGATTGTGACTTGATGTTCAGTGAAATTCATATTTATTTTATTTCATTTTTACTGCTGATATTTTGTTTTAGATTTGGATTTTTATTAAAATCTGCTTTAATGGTTAAATTAATTTACAACAAATTAAGATGTAAATCTTGTTGATTATGCAATGAATATATAATTCATCCTTTTTGGTGATAATGAAAAGCAGAATCAAATGGATCTCTTCATCAATATGTTCTTTAAATCAGTTGCACATCAAATGATTACTTTATGGTTGATTGAGATTTTGAACATTTGACGGACAGCTACTTATCTGACTTTTAAAGACAGTGGAAATTAGAGAAGACTTGTTGGGAAAAATTAAACAAATCTTTCGGTACATCCTTGTTTTCGTAAAAAAAGTTACGAACATGCAGTAGACATAATGTGATGATACAGTACCCCCTAGGGACCAAATTGATCCAATCCCTAGGGGGCAGCAGCTTACCCATGGGGACGTACACTAGAGAAAGCACAAACACGTGCAGTCTACATAAATCAATAATCCTAAATATCTTCGTAGTCATAAGTGTTTTCCTGGTCAGACAAATGTCGTAGGAAATTGGAGGAAATGTGAAGATAGAAAAAGTGCATATTTAAGAATTGATAGAAACATGAGATGAATGGTCTGATTAAGTTTGCTGTAAACAGGATGGATTTTTTTTCTGTTTTATTAAGATCCTCTTTGATTGAGGAAGATTAAAGGGAAGTAGAAAATATTATTTCAGTTTGCTGTCATAGAAAATTCATAAATCTAATCATTTACTTTGATATAATGTGTAGGTGTTGTTGCTGAAGAGGAAAAAGTACATGGATCAAACAGCATTAGTAAGATATGTGTTAATATGCAAAAAAAAGCATTACTTGCTTGATTAACTTTTGCAGTTCAAAAAGAGTTGGAAAATTTAGATTTAGGTTTGGGGCTTATATAAATTTTGACTTCTCAATCACTAAAATCCTGACTAATCATGAAAAGTGCTCAATAGCCTCAAGTATTTATTGCTAGAATCATTGGAGGTAATTTGTTGAAAAAAATGTAAGAAAAAATGTAATCAAAGTGAGGAATTGTTTAAATTTTCTGTCTGTATTATTCACTCACAAGGACACCCAATACATCTGCATCAATGGGGCACAGTAAGTTGTTTTCTTTTAGGAAAATAAGAGATCTCAAATGCCTTGACAAGGGACTTACTTTATGTATTGGATGCCCGGGCAATTTAGGATAGTATAACAAGTTTATTTGGACCAAATCAAAAACACATTGGGACTGGGTAATGTAGTGGAGAGATAGCAGACACATGGGGTCTTCTGAGAGAATTGAGTAAACTTTTTGTTGGACATATTAGATGGTTTGATAGGCTGTAATCCCCTGTTGGGATGTCATATTTTTTACACAGACTTAACAACATACATAGAATGAACATTAACTTTTAATGGTGTGCTAGAGAATAAGAGATGTTTATGTTGGTTTGGATGGAAGGTTGTCACGTAGACATTACTGGGGTGTTTTGCGTCCACTTTATTGACTAAAAGTATTGAAAATTTGCTCTTGTTTTTTCAATTTATTACTTGATTTTCATGGCAAAGAACCAGTGATAAGTCCCTGATATAATAACTAAAAAAAAAAGAATTACGACTGTAGATGGACCTGAGAAGAGATTGAGTCACAGGGGATTAGACTTTCATTTTGTAAGACCTGTTTACAGTTCAACAAGGCACATTACCATATATTGCACAGTGTTTCCCCTGGCTTTCAAGCTCTGCGAGGTGGTAGGCAATCAGCGATCCCAGCAATACTAGGGGGGTCCGGGGGCATGCCCCCCCGGAAAATTTTTTTAATCGAGGTGCAATTTGGTGCATTTTAGGGTATTTAGAACTGATTTTTTTTACATTTTATGTGGCACTGAATTGTCTTGTTTCAGATGTTTTGAGGAGTAAATTCAGTAATGACATAACAAAGGTTTGGACAAAATTTATTTTCCAGTATGCATTCACTCAGTTTAGTCCTTTTCAGTTTATAGAACATACTCTTTCAAGAAAAAAAAAAGTTAGTACTTTCAAAAAAAAAGTTAATACTTACAAGAAACAAGAAAAAGGGCTTACTACATTGAATTATTTTCAAATTGACCAAAAAGTTGATAAAATATGTTGTTCTTACCGTTTTCACATTTCTGAAAGTAACTGGTCAATTGACATTGCGTGTGGGAGCGCTTCATCCTAATATAAAACTGCTTCAAAAAGTTCTCTCCCTTAATTGTCGTTCAGCGCAAAGCGACTCCCGCTACTAGTTATAGGCCTACGTAGTTTGAGATGTAATTTATAATCAACAACTTCAAACACCGTTAAATGAATTCTTCGGAATTAAAGAGATGAAAATCACACTTATCATCAATTTTAGTTCTTCGTTTATTCATTTATATGGTTCTATTCGGTCATGGGAATTCATATTCAATGCATAGGTTTCCACGCGAAATACTGACGTGACCCAGTTTTACAACGCTACTGCTTTCACAAAACTTACCCGTAAATCAATAGAAAATCTTCTCCAAGTTTATAAAAACAACGAAGGCCACTTTATTTGCTCCTTTTTTATCAGTGAATATTCGTAAACTATAAAAACAAACAACAGGCAGTCTGAATTTCGGAACATGAAGTGACAGAAAGTGTATTCTTGACACGTGATTAAATGGTGTCAAGAACAGTTGCCTCGTTTCGCTGGGTCTCTCATACTTCACAGAACTGCGAAAACGAGGCACTTACAGGGAGATATTAACTGCTTGTTATTTTTAGGCATACGCGCATGCGTACTTCCGTTACTGCTAAATCAAGTGCTCAGAAGCATGGGATTACGTATGTAAACAGAAAATGCCATATTTGCTTAGAAATAAATATAATTTTCAGTTAGCATGAGTGAAAATATACTTTGTCGTTCCATTCAGCCCAACGAGGCGGTGCTTTTGACAAATTTCAGCGAGGCGCTTGCAAATTTCAGCGAGGCGGGCGCCTCGCTCATTTAAGTGCAGGGGAAACACTGTTGCATGTTAGTGAGTGTCTTCAAAACCAGTTTATCTGCTAGATAGCTGAATCTGGAGATATTAACATGTACAAACAACAGCAAAGAAGACAGCCAGGGATGACTAGGATGAGAAATGTGACATCTTTGTTGTTAGTTCAGAAGATAGGGATTAATTCTCATGGATATCACATACTAACAGAGAATTATGCGCACTGATACACAAGCATTCTGGTGTTTGAGTGTCAAAACATTTTTTTCACAGCAGTTTTTTTCAGTTAATCTCATCCAATAACTTCACCAAGATCATTGCTGTATGATAGGGTTAGACCAACTGTATCAAGGGCAGTATTCATTGGACTTGAAATGTTAAGTTCGTACCTGTACTGTCTAAACACAACCTGTGCCTGTTGGTTGGACTCCACTGAATCCTCTGCATGAATTGTCCATCCAGATATTCTACTAGTGTGCTACATGGCAACAAGAACCCTTGAATGAAGCACCCCTAGACAGAGGGCATGTATATATATATATATATATATATATATATATATATATATAAGACACATACAGTGATGTATGATACTTCAGATACATAAGGCCTCATAGGAACATGGAACATACCTAATGATTTACTGACTGCTAGTTGAAGTACTGTAGTCTGTTGTCTAAGCTCAGACTGTACCAGTTAAAGAGGTCCAGGGCCTGTGGTCTACTTCATTGTGTGTGAACATGGCTATATATTACCTGGAGGCTGGAGATATGACACACCTGGAAATACAAAGACCTGGATATAATAAACCATCACTGTGAGATATGGAGGGCTGAGTTAAGGTGGACTGGCTTTTAGCAGATAAGGTGACAGTCAGTGACATCTGTCAGCCATCATCTTTCTGTTGTTCTCTGGTGCTATTAGCCCATTGTTGACATCACATGTTGGATGTTCTCTTTTACAATACCCAGAGAATTGTACCATAAGTGATAGCCATTAGTGATGGTCACTTTTATCTGACCAATCTGTAGCTTTGGCCAAGCAGTTAAGAGGCACCTGCAGTACCAGTGGGTGGGTTAACAGGCCTAATGAATTGTAGATTGACCAGAGAATAACATGGTCAGGAAAATAAACCTCTCAAATGTCATAGTGGGAAAAGTTAATCTGTTTGTTTTGATGGGAATTGAATATGATAGACTTCACAAGCCTGGTCAATATAGTGAGCAAAACAACAACAAAATTAATCATCAGGTAGTCTATTTGTCGGCAGGTAGAGGCAGGAAAACAGATAATCAATCAAGGAAATTGGACAGAAAAATGAGGGTATTTCTCTATGGGGTCCCTGGTGATCAGATTTGATTGGACAACCATGTAAGTGGATGCAGATGTCCAGCGCGTCCATTTTTTTATGTTGAGATAAACTGTGACTGCCAGGTCAGAGCTTATTTGTTGACTTGTGACTCCAGCGTCATACATACATCATCACACAAAGGATCCTCTCAGATTTAAAGGAACTTCATGAATTTTGCCATTATGGCCAAAGCAGCACTACCTGGAATGTAATTCTTTAAAAATTGAAGTTCGGCTGGTTAAATTTGATTATAGCATATGGATTTTTTGCTATCATAAGAAGTAGATGCACATGTCCCAGGATTTGTTGTTATATTTGAACTGACAGTCAAGTGATCAGTTTGTTTGAAGGGATCTTTTGATGAATATAGCAAGGTGAATGGATCAGTGAGATTTTAACACCTATCTGCAAAAGCTAGGTCTTAGGAATATCAAGAAATATTCACTGTGGACCAATAAGTTGAACAGCTTGTGGTAACCCTTCCTTTTTAGAACACAGGAGAATTTTTAGGCTGGATATAGTGGCTTTTTGTATCAGAAGAGAATTACATTCTGAGAAACTTATGCTACCATGTGATACATTACTTGGAAAAGGAGTTTTATAATGAAATCAAATTTTACTGTGGGCAAAAACTGATCCCATCATTTGACTAATGAATCATATAGTTGAGCTGATAATATTCGTGAAGAGAGCTGTGATCATATTCATTTGTCCAAGAAAAGCATTTTCTATAGATTCTTGTCGTTGAAATTCAGTGCTCATGTCATAGCAATTTAATGGATTTCATGTTATTTTATTTAATACATTTTGATCACTGGTACTGAATTGGATTATACCTGTGAAGGGGAAGCAATAAGAATATGAAATTTAGGAGAATGCCAGGGAACAGATATTTAAGAATGGTCCCAGTTTTACTGTGAACCTAACATCAATAATGTGGACATGTTATTAAATATAGATTTTATTCTCAAAGGATTTCGGTTATTTCTCAGATAAAAAGTGGTTTTCAGAAGATAATTCATGCTATATTTTGTACCAGAATTCAAGATTTGTTTGATGTCAATTAATTATTGATTTTCATTGATCCTTTACTTCAGAATTTTTTCAAAACATACAGGAGGTCATGTACAGAAGAGCAGGAAAAAACTAGAAATTTTAAAAGGAATTCAAAGGAAATTCTATAGAGAGAAAAAACTGAACTTCCTCTTGTGTATCTCGATATGATTGTAATTTGATGGAACATATACAATTTTGAACAAGGAGTAGTTTTCAGGAGAGAACACAGGATACCAAGGCACCCTGATAATATTCTTTTAGAAGACTGGAACATATATTTAGAACTCTCTCTTTCTATTTTCCATAGAAGAAAACAAGGAGCTACATGTACCAACGTTTTCTTGGATGTCATTTTTCTTAGAAACAAACCAAGATGAGCAAGAACAATTGTTTAATTTCCTTTGTCCGCTTCATTTTCCAGTCTATGCCAATACGAGATGCCGTCAGGGAATGCTTGGAGAAAGACCCATCTGAGAGAAATGATGATGACATTGAGATATTACTGGAATTTATGCAGCATTTTCCTGTGAGTATGATCATATGTCATATGGAACAATTGATTATCAATATAATACAATCACAGTAAATGCTTAATTTAGTACTCAAAACTGTGGAATACATAATTGTTGGATTGCTAATTGAAAGTTGGCGGAAAAAACAATTTGACTGGTTAAATATAAAGAAGTTTGCTTTCAAGTACTAATAAGATATCAATGTAAGCTGGGGAGACCACTTTCCACTCCACTTCTAGATTCAGTCTGTAAAACTTGAGAGTAATAATTATGTTTGGTTGACATTGTCTTATATCTTCATATGTTTTTCTGCGTTATCATGTACTTATGCCTCAAAAACAATTCCTATGTCTTTGTGCAATTTGAATATGATCTGTAATAAATATTAGTTTTTGGGGTGTTTTTTCAATGCTTGATTAGTACATTTGTATATGATGTGAGGAAAAACCATTTCCGTTTGAGATAAGGGCCAGAAGCCCACACGCCAAGCCTTCCCTGTAGAGAAGCTGATGTTACCAAACATATAAAGTCAGTTTCCCATTATTACCTCAGCACCTTAATGGTGCAAGAAGAAGTGGTGCTTGCCCCGTAATGTCTGCCTACTAGCATGTAAGTAGAGATCAGATCATTTCCCCTTATTGAGCTGAGGATAAGACAAAAGAGCTTTTAATGTGGCATTGGGATCCCACACTTCCAACAGATCGGCCATTTGTCTGCTGCTTTATGTGGCGATTGTCTCAGAGACTTTTTATTCAGGTTGGAGAATAGTGATAGTGAAGTGCAGAAGTAACACTACTGGTGAGCTGTAAGTAGTTGTGGTTTGTTACCAAACAGAGGGGTGGGAATGGGCCATTTGGAAATATTGAAGGTTGAAGACTTAGGTGGTGGTGTTATTTAAATACAGTAGCAGGCTCAGACCATTGCAGTATACGAGGCATCAAACAAAAGGGTAAGAAGTGAAAAGAAATATTTTCAAAATGCTTCTGGAGAGATATCAGTATGTCATAACAAAAATTGTCATTTTATGTTAAACCTGTGAATTTTTGCATTGCCAGGCATTTGCCAACATGACCCTGGCCACCAGGCGGAGCCTGTGTTCTGTCATGGTGTTTGCTGTCGTGGAGAAAGCGGGCACGATCGTGATGCATGATGCGGAGGAGCTGGACTCCTGGTCGGTCATCATCAATGGTCAAGTGGAGATCACGCTGCCAGACGACACCGTAGAACAGCTACAGATGGGAGACAGGTCAGTTTTATTATATAAAGTGTGAAGACTTCAAAAGATGAGAAATCTCACTCTATGAATCATCAGCACACAAACCCATTGCTTGTCATCTTTGTGAAAATTTGTCTGTGATGTCAGACTGGATATGTCAGTAATGATGTGACCATGGAAAAACCAATTAAACAATTGAAGATAATTTAAGGGTAATGATTAATTAGTCTTTCAAGACTTAGAGTCGTTGACATGTAGGGTATTTTTATGTAAGTAGGAGAAGTGGGAAGTTTAGCAGTGCAGGGGGAAATTATGTAAAAACATTAAATTCAGAAGTGAAGGGACATAAATATTAGGCCCTTGATTATAAAGGCTAGAATAATTCATAGCATAAGGGAAGAGAATGAGGTGGGTGCATTTTTCTTAGATTTTTTGTTAAGGGAAATTTTGCTGAGGTAGTATATAAGTTGTTAGTTATAGTCTTTATGTACCTATCACCATGTTGACTGTATCCCTCCCCATAGTAGTGGAAATGACTACAGGGGATTGAATCAGGCCTAAAAAGATGTTTTTTAAGGCTAAGGGCATAATGTAAACTGATTTGAGATGCGTGGTGTGCAAAATGGTTTAAGAACCAGGATAATTTTTTTCTTTTCTTTCAGTTTTGGTATCANGATATGATTGTAATTTGATGGAACATATACAATTTTGAACAAGGAGTAGTTTTCAGGAGAGAACACAGGATACCAAGGCACCCTGATAATATTCTTTTAGAAGACTGGAACATATATTTAGAACTCTCTCTTTCTATTTTCCATAGAAGAAAACAAGGAGCTACATGTACCAACGTTTTCTTGGATGTCATTTTTCTTAGAAACAAACCAAGATGAGCAAGAACAATTGTTTAATTTCCTTTGTCCGCTTCATTTTCCAGTCTATGCCAATACGAGATGCCGTCAGGGAATGCTTGGAGAAAGACCCATCTGAGAGAAATGATGATGACATTGAGATATTACTGGAATTTATGCAGCATTTTCCTGTGAGTATGATCATATGTCATATGGAACAATTGATTATCAATATAATACAATCACAGTAAATGCTTAATTTAGTACTCAAAACTGTGGAATACATAATTGTTGGATTGCTAATTGAAAGTTGGCGGAAAAAACAATTTGACTGGTTAAATATAAAGAAGTTTGCTTTCAAGTACTAATAAGATATCAATGTAAGCTGGGGAGACCACTTTCCACTCCACTTCTAGATTCAGTCTGTAAAACTTGAGAGTAATAATTATGTTTGGTTGACATTGTCTTATATCTTCATATGTTTTTCTGCGTTATCATGTACTTATGCCTCAAAAACAATTCCTATGTCTTTGTGCAATTTGAATATGATCTGTAATAAATATTAGTTTTTGGGGTGTTTTTTCAATGCTTGATTAGTACATTTGTATATGATGTGAGGAAAAACCATTTCCGTTTGAGATAAGGGCCAGAAGCCCACACGCCAAGCCTTCCCTGTAGAGAAGCTGATGTTACCAAACATATAAAGTCAGTTTCCCATTATTACCTCAGCACCTTAATGGTGCAAGAAGAAGTGGTGCTTGCCCCGTAATGTCTGCCTACTAGCATGTAAGTAGAGATCAGATCATTTCCCCTTATTGAGCTGAGGATAAGACAAAAGAGCTTTTAATGTGGCATTGGGATCCCACACTTCCAACAGATCGGCCATTTGTCTGCTGCTTTATGTGGCGATTGTCTCAGAGACTTTTTATTCAGGTTGGAGAATAGTGATAGTGAAGTGCAGAAGTAACACTACTGGTGAGCTGTAAGTAGTTGTGGTTTGTTACCAAACAGAGGGGTGGGAATGGGCCATTTGGAAATATTGAAGGTTGAAGACTTAGGTGGTGGTGTTATTTAAATACAGTAGCAGGCTCAGACCATTGCAGTATACGAGGCATCAAACAAAAGGGTAAGAAGTGAAAAGAAATATTTTCAAAATGCTTCTGGAGAGATATCAGTATGTCATAACAAAAATTGTCATTTTATGTTAAACCTGTGAATTTTTGCATTGCCAGGCATTTGCCAACATGACCCTGGCCACCAGGCGGAGCCTGTGTTCTGTCATGGTGTTTGCTGTCGTGGAGAAAGCGGGCACGATCGTGATGCATGATGCGGAGGAGCTGGACTCCTGGTCGGTCATCATCAATGGTCAAGTGGAGATCACGCTGCCAGACGACACCGTAGAACAGCTACAGATGGGAGACAGGTCAGTTTTATTATATAAAGTGTGAAGACTTCAAAAGATGAGAAATCTCACTCTATGAATCATCAGCACACAAACCCATTGCTTGTCATCTTTGTGAAAATTTGTCTGTGATGTCAGACTGGATATGTCAGTAATGATGTGACCATGGAAAAACCAATTAAACAATTGAAGATAATTTAAGGGTAATGATTAATTAGTCTTTCAAGACTTAGAGTCGTTGACATGTAGGGTATTTTTATGTAAGTAGGAGAAGTGGGAAGTTTAGCAGTGCAGGGGGAAATTATGTAAAAACATTAAATTCAGAAGTGAAGGGACATAAATATTAGGCCCTTGATTATAAAGGCTAGAATAATTCATAGCATAAGGGAAGAGAATGAGGTGGGTGCATTTTTCTTAGATTTTTTGTTAAGGGAAATTTTGCTGAGGTAGTATATAAGTTGTTAGTTATAGTCTTTATGTACCTATCACCATGTTGACTGTATCCCTCCCCATAGTAGTGGAAATGACTACAGGGGATTGAATCAGGCCTAAAAAGATGTTTTTTAAGGCTAAGGGCATAATGTAAACTGATTTGAGATGCGTGGTGTGCAAAATGGTTTAAGAACCAGGATAATTTTTTTCTTTTCTTTCAGTTTTGGTATCACACCTACAATGGAGAAGCTGTACCATAAAGGAGTCATGCGCACCACACAAGATGACTGTCAGTTTGTTTGTATAGCACAGTCAGATTACTATAGGATACTGCATCAGGTAAGACTCCTACTCCTTTTCTGTTAGTAAGATTATGATTGTGGTAATTTAACAGATTTTCCTTTTCATGAGAATTTTTATTTCACAATCTTTAAGTCATTAAATATGATTGAATGATCTCTACCAAAGAAAACATTAGTAAATAAATAAAAATTGATTACTATCTGCTTAGGTGTACTTAAATTGGTACAGACATATTTTTTATTAACTCTTCAAATTGATCATGCAACCATTTTCAGTCAACATATAATGGAGCACAGATATATTCACAGTTTAGTAAAAGTTATTGTTTGCTGTTTAGGGTGAAGAGAATACACACAAGTTTGAAGAGAAAGGTCAGGTGGTGATGGTCACTGAAGATAGAGTCTTAGACGGTGGCAACAGGAAAGGGTCCATTGTCATAAGGGTGAGTGGAGAAATTTAGTGTAATATTGAGAGTGCTGTACTTTTGTATTACTTAAGCCTTTTTGAAATTTATGGAAAGTGTTGAAAATGGAATTAGGGGTTCTATGATAAGATTAATATAATTGCGTTATTGAATTTTTCTCTAAATTTTTTTGTCTGAGTTGAAGAAATATCTGAGTCTACAATTCTTATTTTTGGATAAAATTTACCTAAAAATATCCTTCTGCAACATTGATCATGTCATGGCATTGACCTTTTGTCCTTGACCTTTGTCCTCCATATTTCAGGGCACACCAGAGAGGCTGATGACCCACCTGGTAGAGGAACACTCTGTGGTGGACCCTACCTATGTGGAGGACTTCCTGCTGACCTACAGGACCTTCATTGAGAGCCCCCTGGAGGTGGCCAACAGGCTGCTCATGTGGTTTGGGGACGCCGAGCTCAGGGATAGGGTAGGTCTAGGGACATATTTAAAACATAAGACTTTATTTATTTATTTATTTATTTATTTATTTATTTATTTATTTATTTATTTATTTATTTATTTATTTATTTATCACTCACCTGCACAAATATGAAAACTGATTCATGATATGAAAGAAGAAGAAAAAAACATTGTCTAGGTCTGTCATTGATCTCACTAGTGTAGAAATGCTTAACCTAAGGTATTCAAGATCCAATTGTTCTGCTTCCTTTGCTTGTCTGAATTATTACAGCAAAATATGAACTCTTTTAACTAGTACAAGTTACTATGCTAGCTTGTCTTGATATGCTGTCCTCTATAATGTCAGGTGACCAGAGTTGTGTTACTATGGGTCAACAACCACTTCAACGACTTTGAATCTAATCCTGCCATGAGTGAATTCTTAGAGAAATTTGAGATTATGTTAGAAAGAGAGGTAAGTAACTCAGATAAAAAACCCAACTCTTATGCCTCCATTTCCTAGAAAAATCAATACATTATACTTCATCAGTAAATTTATATCAAATATAGTGATTTAAGATTCAAATTCTTGTAGAAATGTTTTTAATCAAAAAATGTTTGATTTAAGAAAATAAATATTTTCTTGTTCAACAAGTCATGTTATCTATTTTAATTTGCAGCGAATGATAGGACAGTTACGACTTCTGAACATTGCATGTTCAGCTAAAGCACGGGCACGCACAATAACCCTAACCAGGTCGACAAAAGATGAAATCTTACATTTTTCTGTCCTGGGAGGGCTTGAAAGGCATTGTGGGATATTTATCTCCAAGGTTGAGAAGGGAACGAAAGCACACGAGGCTGGACTGAGGCGTGGGGACCAGGTAAGCTGCATTAACTGTGCTGGTGTAACATTGTGTTGGCTGAGACAGTGTGTTAGATGTGACATTGTGCCAGTCTTCCATTTTAGATGCTGTTGTGCAAAAACTATTTAAAAGTAAAATGGGGTACAGAATTAATTTGATATCAAAGGTACTTTTATATAAACTTACTTATTTTGTGTCTCATATTCTAGATCCTGGAGGTAAATGGACATAATTTTGAGTTCATCACGCATAATAGAGCTCTGGAGATCCTACGTGGAACCACACATCTCTCCATATCTGTGAAATCAAATGTGATTGGTGAGTGCAAATGTGTCTCTTTAATTATGTTTGATGAAATGCATAGGAAATGTCAATTTTTTTAAATCAAAGTGATTTTAATTATTGTATAGATTTTTGTTAGGGATGGAAAATTATTACATGTGCAAATAAATGTGTTTGAATAATAGATGCCTGAATTAATCAAACATTCAGCAATTGATTTTAAATGTCTGTAATGGGGCATAATTCTATAGCAATGTGGTTAATGCAGTACCTCATCATAAATAGAGACCAAATTTAAGCATTTTTTTTCAAACTTTCAGCCTTCAAAGAGATGTTATACAGCAGCTCCCCAGGGAGACCAGCCAAGAAACAACAAATTGCCCAGTTACAACCAGACTTCACCCAGAAGCGGCAAGGTTCTGTGCCTGAGCTGGACCTGGGGGTTCCCCCTGTGATCTCACCGGTCAAACCCAAGAAGGGAGACAAGAAAGAAAAACCCTACGGCACAGTGGGGAAAAATGCAAAGCTACGAAAGGCTTTGAACAAAATTAATTTATTGCCAAAGCAAAACAGGTATGTTATCATGAGAACAGTAACTCTCCTGTGGGATTGATCCATTTTGTATTTCTTTCTTTTCTGTGATGATTATACACTATATGAAAGAATTTAAACAGTAATCAATAATTTTAATAAAAGGACAGCAAAATAATAAAAGAAATATCACATTAACACTATTTTCTTATCCTTTAATCAGACAAATAAACATTTGTGCTAGTCAACCATATCACATATCACACAAAATGTTTTACAGGTTCTTTCAAATCTTCCACTTTGTTTCAGTGATAGCAAACTTCAGCACAACCATTCTGACAACGATCTGACCTGTCCTCAGCGCAGTCGCCAGTCTTCCACTTCATCAGCGTCGTCCAACACGTCTGCGCAACAACAGCAAATGAGCAACAGCAGTCCCGATATCTCAGCCACCATACTGGGGAGTTTTGCTGTCATGGATGACACGCGCAACGACTTTCCAGAACACGTGCTGAAAGTTTATCGGTCTGACCAGAGTTGTAAATATTTCCTTGTACATAGAGTAAGTGTTCCTTTTTGACAGAATTTGAGCATTTAGAATATTGACTTATTAGTAGTACTTTTAATGTAATTTTTTAATTTTTTTTACTTGAAAAACACTTCTAAATCACTTACACTCAGAATTAAAAGAAATGGTTTAATATGGGTCTGAGTTTAATTAAGACATTTTAATCAGCTTCCTGTGTACTTGATTTGAAGCATAGCATCTGAAGTTACAAATAAAAAACTTAATTCATGCAATAAACAAAATTCCTGTGCAGACAATAATGAAGTATTTTAGCCGGAGTAAACTTTATTGTTACAGCAAACAAGTCTATTTCTTGTATAAGAATTTGTGATGTATTTCTGATTTGATGTTCTAGGAAACTACTGCCAGAGAGGTGGTGATGTTAGCTCTCAGAGAATTTGGAATTACAGACCCTAGCAGGTAAATACACAGTATGATTTGTTCCCATCAGGAATGATGCTTGTATTTTAGATTAGAGCAAATATAGAAAATGCACATGTAATAGTTACATTAGACTCAAACTCTGAATACAGTATTTTGATTCTAAGAACAAGTGCAACTAAAGCTTCATATTTGTTATTTTATTGTGTGAAACTTTTTATATATAAAAAAAATGTGCAGAGAAAACTTCTTTATCATACACCAAAAACCCAGTGAACCTACTACCATTACCTTTTGCTCCTGTCCTGCTTGTGTGCTGCCACCTATATTGTGTTTTTAATTCAGTTCCACCTTGCTCTACTGTAGTAACTACTCGCTGTGTGAGGTCACTGTGGAGAATGAAGGGTTTATCAAACAGAAGAGACTACCAGAGCAGCTCACCAATCTTCCAGAAAGGATCAACTTAAATGGAAGGTAGGATATGGCTTTTGATATGTAGCTTGAACAATTATTGTGCTGAAAAACACTTCTTGTCATTAGTGGTATATCTGTTTCAGTTCAGAATGAAAGTTTGGAAAAAAGAAAACATATCAGTGCTGTTCAGCTATTTCAGTTCAATTAACATAAAAGGATTTAGATGTTCTTAACTTTCCTATGAGAATTTACCTCAAGTTAGTAACTATTGTATAAAATGAACGAAACAAATTGAGATAACTGTTGAAAGTCTAGGTCACACTTTCTCTGCCAGTATTCATAATGCTCAAATCAATAGTACACCATGTCAGCTACAACATATATAACCCTTTAATTCAAAACCCTAATCCAAAGTATTTTACGTCCTACCTGCAGGTACTACTTAAAGAACAATATGAGCACGGAGACACTAGTTCCAGACGAGCTGGCCAGTGAGCTGATGAAGGAGGGCCAGATTAGCTTCCTCCAGTTGAAGAGTATAGAGATCGCCACCCAGCTCACCCTGGAAGACTTCCATATATTTGCCAACATCGAGGCTACAGAGTATATAGATGATCTTTTTGATCTTCCTTCTAAATATGGCACGCCTAACATACTGCAGTTTCAGGAGGTGAGAGATATTGGTTCCCTGTTGGTTTGTTTTAACTTGACTCATTGTGTATCTTTATTGGTTGTTTAGATATCTGTCTATAAAAATGTATCATATTCTGTCTTTGATGGAACAGTGTAACGAAGTGTTTTAATAATAAAAAAACTTATAGCTGATATCTGTAGGATGACGGAAAAGGATGTTTGGCAAGTTAATTGATGAATAGAACAAACGGGATGAAGAAAAAATTTCACAGTGGTTTAGGAAGATAAAAGATTATAACAGGCATTTGATTGCTATAATTATCTATGTTAAAGACAGTTCAGATTGCACCGCACAAAGTAAAAAAAAAAATTGTTCAATTCTGTTCCAGCTGGTGAACAGGGAAATGTTCTGGGTGACCACAGAAGTCGTCCGAGAAACTAACATCATCAAGAGGATGAAAATAATCAAACATTTTATCAAAATAGCAAGTGAGTAGGAACAGCACGGAGAGGGTGATTGAGCTTAGCACATTATTGCTAGAGCTGCCTCAGGCTACATCATCACCAATGTACAGACCTAGCTGCTATTTCTTGTTATTGTCTGATATGCTTTACAGTGTTAAGAAGGTTGATTGTCGTCAGAGATGAAACATATTTTATTAATGGCTAAAGTACCATTTATTTTTGCCTATCCAACTCCATCTCAATATTGTATTGTTAATTCAAAAATTAAATCTTTAATTTAATTTTTCCACAGGGCATTGTAAAGAATGTAAAAACTTTAACTCAATGTTTGCCATACTAAGTGGACTGGGTCATGGGTCAGTGCAGAGACTACGGACAACATGGGACAAACTGCCCAATAAATATGTCAAAATATACGAGGTCAGTGATAGATATCTGCTGTTTGCTGTTTACAGTGTAAAATAGATTAAATTTTAATTTTTAAGTTGGTTTTCTTAAAAATCAGTCGGAAAAGGAAATAATAGGTGATAGATAAAAAATTTCAAATGTCTTACTAGGTATCCTAGATAATAAGTACAATATGTTAATTTAAATGAATAGAAAGTTTGCTTCCAAAAAGTTCTAGAAACCTTAAATAGTTTCCATACATCCATCCATGTCCAATTCTCATGACTCCATTGTTTCCTTTGTTTAGGACCTCCAAACAATAATGGATCCCTCAAGAAACATGGCCAAGTACAGGAATCTCATCAACTCTGAGCTGGTGCAGCCTCCTTTGGTAAGTAACTGGTTTTCTACAACTGATTTTTGCTTCCCTTGTGGTCAGCCCTGGCATATCTAACATGTTGCCTGCCACATGGGGATGAAGTACTTTACTCAGAGATGAGAATCTTTTGTAGGGTTTCATCTTTGTTTTTGTGTGTGTTAAAAAGGACATGAGAAGTTCCTGGCCATTGTATGAAATGTTCAGTACAGGAGGTTTAAGGAAAGAGAAAGGTCTCTTTTTTTAAAAAAATCTGTCTCTGTTTCCATTGCTGTCCTCCCCACAGACTGTCTAGCAGATGACAGAGATGTGACATGGAGACACGCGGTTAGTCTACATTTTTTTAATCAATTTTACAACATGTTTTGTATTTCCATCAGATCCCCTTATTCCCCATTGTGAAGAAGGACCTGACCTTCATTCACCTGGGCAATGACTCCAAGGTGGACGGCCTGGTGAACTTTGAGAAACTAAGAATGATCGCAAAAGAAGTGAGGCACTTGTGTCTTATGGCATCTGCACCATATGTAAGTGTTTCCTTTTTTTGTTTAAATTGGATTATTGTTCTAGGCTTCAGTGTCCAGTGGATATTGTACTTAAGTATACAAATCTTAATAAAAAATAGCTCATTGTTAGTAAATACACCACAGTGACTGTGGAATAGTTTAAAAATATGCTCAGCTTTAGCTAAATGAACTGTTTTCAGCAGTATTCCAGGAAATGCTGATATTTTTCTGTATGTGGTACATTTAAAAATGTAACACTTTTCTAAGAACTACTTTAATAGGGTTTCCAGGATTCCAATTTCTTTTCTAAGAATTATTTTAATTGGTTATTTTCCAGAATTTCAATTTACTTTTCTTAGAATTATTTTAATTGGTTATTTTCCAGGATTCCAGTTTACTTATCTAAGAACTATTCTAATTGGTTGTTTTCCAGGACCCCAATGCCATGTTTTTACCAGGAAGCAGTTCCGCCAGCATCTTCGCCAACAATGCTTCGGGAACAAATACCATCAAGAAGAAAACCAGGCGAAACTCAACCCTTCCAAACCCTAAGAAGATGTATGAAGAGGTACATAAATAATATATAAAAGCTAATTTTTGTAATGGTTTTTAATTGCTCACATGATAGTATTTATTAGATTATGAAGAATTTCTGTAGTGTGCCCTCTTTTGTCAATTGTTATGGGAAAATTGAAACTGTGAATGTCAGCAGAAAAAAAAAATTACAGTTGCTTAAATCATATAATGAATGATGAGAAATTGTGCTCAATATTTTAAAAACTTTTTTTGTTAATTATAAAATTCTACCTATAAATTATGTTAATATTTTCCCCATTAGTACCAAATGGTACGCAGAGTGAAAAACTACCTCCACAGCATGAAGATTGTTGCAGATGAAGATGAATTAGATGGGCTATCACTACAATGTGAGCCACAACGTGAGTATTAATTCATTTACTTGGAATTTGAACATAGCGGTCAACTGTATTGTAGTTTGAAGGTCAAATTTTCTAGCACACACAAAAAAAAAGTTATTGGGGATGCTTTTTGATGGTAAGTCATAAAAAAACTTAGTCAATATTGAAATGTGATCTTTATTTGCAAGCCCTTGCATCTGTTGCTTATAGATTCAAGTTAAGAAATCTGCTCACATTTTATTTTCCTCCCCTGCAGTGCCTCGTAAGAGGGACCAGTCCCCGCCTCCCCCCGCCCCCGTCAACAACGCCCAGTTACTTAACGCTAACCTGGGACCCAAGTTTGGTAAGTTTATTTGTCACTATTTCAATTTGTCATTAATGGTTTTATAATTAATATGCAGCATGTTCAGGTGTCATTTTGTCATTGTGTTTCTTTTTATATTTCTATTTATGAATGACATTTAACCCCAATTAATTTTTTTAGCATCCATAGATGAGCTGTTATTATGATTCATATATGTTTTTTTAATTCGAAATATGCTAAACTGTATATTTCTTAACTGTATTCAGTAAACTTTTATAATGGGTGGATGTATTGTAGTTTTGGTTACAGTTAATAACATAGTAGCTGAGTGAGAGGTTCACCTTGATGTCATTGTTGTTGTATAGGTGCTAAATCCCCAGACGCTGTCCGCAAACTGCTTTCTCTCTCAGAAGACAAAGTGCGCCCACATAACCCGAAACATCCAACGTTAAAATTAAATAGTCCCGGTAACCAGAGGCGTTTGCCCCTCTCCCCACAACCTGGCAGACTTAAACACACACATCTGTCTCCAGAGAGCTCTTCAGTGGTCAGCCTTAGTAGTATAGCAATGAGAAAATCACATACCTCAGGTAAGGGTAATACACTAGAGGTGGCAGCACTGGTCAGTGGCTCTTTGCTGGTGCAGACATTTGCTGGCTACTGTACAGAAGATGGCAGCACTGCAGAATGTTACTGATCACCTGCTGCCACCTATTGTTTTGTATTAGTCTTTCCAAATGAAATAAAAGATGGATTTTTCAGTGGATTAGGTGTCTTGTTGGACTGTTAGTAACTGGTTATTGTCTTGCTGATTCATTTGCATGCCTTGGGTGTTGCTAGGTTTGAATAATACCGAAAACTTATTCTCTGATAAAAGAAATTATTGGTTCTAAATGAATGAGTTATTGTACTTACAAAATTGACATTGATGGGTTGATTTTCTTAAACATTAGCATTGGACATTCTAATTGGCTGGGTGTAAAGAACTTTTTGATAACTCAAACTCAATCAGTGATCACTTGCATACAGCAGTAATAAATTCAGGACCAGTATGACTACAATCATTTCTGTTTTCCAGGTTCTATTGGATCAGCAGATTCTTCCAGCCCTCCAACCAATCACCATCATTTATATGAGACAGACTCTGGACACAACAGCATAGCGTCTTCCAACTTTGACAGCCACAGTACCAGTTCTGTAGGCTCTGCACATTCCCCGCCTTCACAGAGGCATCTGTCCAATCAGCACAGTAAGTTGACATATTCCCCGCCTTCAAAGAGGCATCTTTCCAATCAGCACAGTAAGTTGACACATTTCCCGCCTTTACAGAGGCATCTGTCCAGTCAAGCACATAAGGTACTTCAGATATTTAAAATTGACACAATTATGATTTTGAGTTGATATTGTGTAACTTTTAATGTTTTTGGTATTTTAGAAGATGTGCCGTCTTTGTTTCTTGTTTTAAATGTGACTTGTTCTTTGCAGTGGCACCTCACCTACAGTCCTCGCGGCCTCCTCTTCCACCCTATCATGTTGTGGTGCAGAATTCACAAGGTACGAACACATTGCTCTCCACTTATTAAAGTATGAATGTATATTATGTATGTTGCATAATTATCATTATCATCACCTTGACGTAGTTTTACACAGTAGAGCCGCTAGGTTGAATTTCAGTAGGAAAGCTTCAGTTTTCACTTGCTTAAGTAAATAAATATTTTCATATTGAGGGCCAAGGTACTTAAATTTTATGGTTTGGAAAAATCTTAATTGGATATAAGGAGTGTTTGCCTTGCGTAAAATAGTAGAGGCATATGTTGTACTTATTATAAATTAAACCATGAAGTTACTAAGCTTGGTCTCATGGTGACTGCTACTAAAATGTGCACATGATTATATATTTTGTGCTTACTGCCCTGAGGCTTCCAAGAAATGCACTGGATTTGTTTTGCAAGTCATATTTAACTAGAGGTTAGAAAAAAATGCATGCATTGCAATCCCCTAGTGTCAATGTGTCTCATGTTGCACAGTGGAGACCCCTAGGGACTAAATAGTGGTCAATGTATGCATGATTGACAGAATTTTCGATGCCAGTGAATTGGTTTCTTTTGCACAGCCATACTTTGCCCTTCTGTTAAGTTTGTTCCATCAGATTTCTTGCACCTGAAGATGCATGATATATATTTACAGTTTCTTTAGTAGAGATTTTCAGATAATTTGTTCAAGTTCATTACAGTAATCTTTTTAAATATGCATCCCAAATTAAAGAAAAAAATATTGTTTTCTTAAATAGAATTTAAGCATGTTTAATGCGTCTTTTGTATCATTCTGAAGGTGGTATTTACTATGGGCATGCTCCTTGAAGTAACAGCTCACTTTATAACTGAATGATTGACATGATTCAATACATAAAGTACATATACTCATAAAAAACATATCCTAAGTATGGTGAAGTGTCCTTGATTTCCTTTGCTGTACAGTGCTGGGTGGAAATAGTAAAGAAGGTAGCATGCTACAAGACATTGGAGATATTATATTATAGCAATAAGTGGTCATGGCACAAAAATGTCTGCATTTTCTCTTTTAATTGAATCCAAGAGCACTCAGTTGTTATTTTGTCCGTGGACTTCTTCTCTTTCAGTCTTCTCTGTCATCCTTATCTCCTAAGCATGTGGAAGGATTATACTCATGAATATGAAATTTATTAAAAACAACAAATTGAAAGTACCCAATGGACAAAAAGAATGCCTCTTTATCTTAACAAATTATTGAATGGTTTTTGTGGTATATAGCTAGGGCATGGCATCTTATACTCCAGATTGGCCAATAATCATCCAATCATAGATGAGTGGTGACTGCAGCCCTTTTTTTACCCAAAATATGCATGCAGTTTATGATTGAGCCTGTATTTCTTTCCTGAATGAGAAATCAGTTTGGATTTGAAAATATTTCTTTCAAAATTGGTAAAATATTAAGACCGGCAATTTTTTATCTTTGAAGAAATTGCTGAGTTGGCATATTTGGCAGAAGAAGCAGAGTATATAAGCATAGAAGGTGAGATACAAGTATTATCTCCTCAGCTAGATTGAGCATTGAAATGTTTGAAACAGGGCAATAATGCTAAGCATGTGGGGAGTTCAATTAGGAAAAGTGATATATCCCATTGCGTTTGATAAATGTATATAATTTCTTCTCTGAAGCATTTCATGTTCCAATAAATTTAGTGAATAATCTTGCTGTTGCAATCAACTTACTGAAAAGCCCCATTTTCTCACTTTCTTTCATTCAGTTCATTGTACTTCAGTGTTGTCACAGTCATAACATCTTGGATATCAACACTAAAAAATAAAAAAAAAAAAGAAATAAAAATTGCTGTACTTCACAATTCTATCTCACCTAACACATTTCCCCAGTGCAGTCACATCGGGCACTGCCTTATCTTATTCACTGTTTATATTCTACTTGAGCAGTGTATTCCACAAGACTGTAAGACCAGTAAGTTGACCTCATTTCTCTGCATCATGGAGGCCTTTCATTTGAATCTTTTGACTTTATGTTCAGTTCCTGGATAACAAACAGCATTTAGTTGCAGTTTCAGCTTTCTTTGATTTTGGTTACTGATTTGGGAGAGTTGCACATTTAGGGACGAGGAATATTAACGTAATGTTAGGTTTAAAAAATGATGATTTAGTTATGTCAGGGAGGGATGAATGCATGAATTATGGCTTGGTAACAGGGACCCATGTACAGATGGTCAGGATTACTTTGCATATTTAGACTTTTGAAAATGTATTTTTTTATACAAGAATCGTCCTCAATGTTTTGGGAACCTGCATGTAGGAACAACAAATATGGGACATGATTACAATAAATGGACAGACACTGACATCAGATTGTCACAGTGTAATATCAATGCTGCCACAAAATTCTTAGAAAAAGACTTTTATTTAAATATCAGTCTTACTTGGTGGATAAAAAGCATGAGATTAGCATGAGTTATTAAAATTATTAGGGTTGTAACATTTTTCTTTCTCTTTTTTTTCATAATTATTATTTCTTTTTAATGCCTGGGTGTTAACTTTATTTCTAAAAGAATTGTAATTTATGTGCTGCGTAAATGGGTTTTGACTAGAAAGGTCAGATTGTATTAGATATTGATTTAGGATATTTTTTACCCTGTCAGTAAGACGTATGATAGTTGAACTGATAGGAAATGTAGTTCCACCTGACACCCCATGAATTCAATGTTATAGACCAAGTTTTGTAGATCAGTAAAATTACCCTTTGATAGTGTTCAGTAATGCAGATAGTTCTGTGATGTGTTTATAGTAGTATACTGGTCAGTGATCCCTAAGTCTAGTCTTTAATGAATCTTTTTTAAGCCAAGTAGTGTCATGATATACAAGGCAGACCACCTGAGTTTTTTTTAAAAAAGTGCTTAAACTAAGTAAATTGGTTAAATTAACCTGGAATGTTTGGGAATAAAAGTTAAAACCTCCCGTTCTCTTCCATGTTTCAGGTTATCACTACCTTCAGCAGCAACAGCAGTATCTTCAGTACCACCTCCGCCCACACCACCGTCCTCCCCTGCCAGACTACCATGCAGCCACCCAGATGGCACAGCTGGCCAGACAGAAGCAGATGATCAGCAGGTCCCATTCCTTTGAAGGGGTGCCAGGTTGTTATGTGGAAGATGATGAGGATGAAGGGGAACTTGTTGATGATGGTGAGTTGAGTTTGAGATGGTGTGGATTTGCGTGGATGTTTGCTGTTGAGATATCACGTGTTTTGCATCAAATGGTGACAAGTGCCAGACCAAACTAGAAAGAAAGAAATAGTCATTATTTTTTGTATATTAGAAAAAATATTTGAATAAAATAGTATTAATTGGCCCTTAACTACTATGAAATTGAACTTGCACAAATAAAAAAAACTGCTTGCTTTAATTTTTAAAATGGTGAACTGACCCTTCTTATTTGTTATTTCAGAAGAAGAGCAAGTTTCTGCTGTATGATAGGAGGCTATTGGTGTTCTCTCCGCGACTTCTCCAAACTATGGCAGACCACGCGTGCTGAAACAACTGCATTTAGACGAGCTGCTGACATAACAGACTGCTGAAGACTTGCAGAATCACTGTCACCACCAGCAGGTGCCAAACTCTTACCCCCAGATGTTATCTCTGGTTCATAGACATTGCTTTGATCTGTAACAAACACTTGAACAAATCTACGGAGGGATGTTCCTGTAGATCTTTACTGCCTTGACAAACCAACTGGAAGTTGCCTATACTGGTTTGACTGGTTGTGAGAGACATTGTTCTGGTCACACCTAACACATTCATTATTCTAGTGGTATTGATGATTGACATTCAGTCAGTGTGTCCAGGGTCTCAGTGGAATATGACTAAAGCTCACAGTGGAAATGTCCATGTGCCAATGACTGGTGTAGAATGCCAGCAGAGTCAGTTATTACATGCTGACAACTTATCACTGGCAGTATGAGTTGATGTGATGACTTGGTTAATACTGTCATACTTTTAATTGTGTGATGGATGGTTTATTTTTTATTTGTCACCCTAGGTGCCAAAAGAAATGAAGTGCTTAAAGGGAATCATTTCTGTATTCTCCACTAGGCGGGGCTCACTTTTGCCCAAGAAGAGCCTGTCAAAAGATTTCTACTTATTAAGGCAAACACTTACATAGGCCTTACACTTAATGCATTGTGATAACAATGTTTAAAAATTGTGGTTAAGAACAATATTCAGTGGCAAGGAATTACCATTACATTTAAGAGGTGGACATTAATTTTAAAAATATGTGTGCCGACTTGGTAACTTCAGACTCTGAAATTATGTAACCGGTGATTAGATTGATTTGATCACACTGGTGGTAAAAACTTTTTAAATTTTACAGTCAGATGAGACTGTGGCTGACTGACAATAGTGATGTGAAAGTGGCAGCCCTCTAGTATTACGTACATGCTTAGGTCGGTGAGATTTCAGTCAAGAGAGGGTAAGGTACCGACGGCTTGTACTTTGTTTTAGTCTACTTAAGTAGAGACCTGTGGTTTGAAAAGTGACTATTTGAAACAGAGGTGTAAATGACTTGAACTACATAAATCATGGAGATAAAGAGTTGTGATGAGGGATTTTTGTGAATCATCGAAAAAGTGTAAATTGTATTACTTATAAATCTTTAGTAAAGAAATGGTGTGACTGAGGAAAAGATCTCATTTGTATAAAAAATTTCACGTTTTTTTACTCACAGAGTTCTTCACGAAAGGTGCTGTGTCTAGTAGACCATTTAGTGTCACTGTGCTTTTATTTGACAAGTGTGATATGTGGCAGAAAGCACTGTACTGTAATCTTTTATATAGATGACTTCTCTTACCTTGGTCCCTGCTGTGTTAGGTAGGGACTTTTAAAGGCAGACTTCATTTATTCCCTTATTTAAGTAGATTTTTAATGGCATCTGCCACCCAGCACAGGACTATGAATGGATTGTGTAAATATTGAACATCTAGATCATGTCTAAATAAATCAGATGTGATTTGTTTTGAAAGAAAAACTTTTGTTGTCTTCAGTGTACAGATGGCTCAGGATCTTTGGGAATTGTTAGAAGTAAATTTTGGGGAGGGTGGATGCTCAAAGAGCTGGGTTCCCCTATAGACATGGAAATTTCAACTTGTCAACTGCTGCTGGTACAAGAATATATTAAATGTCTGTTGCACTCCTGTCCATCAGGGAAAATAAAACAAGATATTGAAAAATCAACTTCACCTGATTTTCAAAAAGAAACTCATTTTAAAAAACAGAATCCATCAATTTTGAAATCATGCTTTTATTGAGTGGCGAATACAAAGTTTAATCATTTTAAGGCATCTCTAGAACAGTCATAACAACATCAAAGCTGGCAAGGAAAGATGGCTTCTGGTGCTCCTAGTCTAAGTTTTCTGCAAGCAGAGGTGCTCACCTATGGACGACCAGCACCCATAGTAGTAACACCAAATTTTGACCGTTATAATATTGTTAACAAAGTTAAAATAAAATGACCCCAAAATTGTTTTGAGCGCTTCACATTTTCATCTGATTGTGAAAATTTGGCAACCTGTTTTGAACTGGCAAGACACAAGATTATTTAATATAAGTGACTGTTAACATCATTTCATCTCCTTTACCTGAAGTCTCCTTAATTGTTATCAGACGAAAGCAAGAAAATTGAAAAATTACTTAACAGAGAATCTATAAAATTATAAAATTATAAATGTCCAGAAACATTAAATGGAATAAAAGGAGTACCTGAAGAAGTCCCGAAGTTTTGTAATTACCCTGTAATGATAAAAGTGGACACAGAGGTACTTGGTTAAAATCGATCAATTCAAGGAGAGTGAAACTAGTCGCAAATGGATTGCTTATGTTAATCAGTAGTTCATGCTATTAGTGCTGTGAGAAAAGAATATTTCATAATTTGTTCACATGCATTTAACAATACCAACTTACACAACTTCAGTATTATATAATGTACAGTATGCAGTATTGTTCCTTTAAAATGCTCATATGACATCAATATGTTTGGATCTTAACAAAAATAACAATGATGCTTTTGGGGCCAGAAAAAATATTTTGTGGTTAAAAAACTTTTAAAAACCAGTCACATTTTACTACAAATTAATAAAACTTTGATTAACAAGTTTAAAGGGCTTAAGCCCAATAAAAAGCAATCCAATATATCATAAATTGGACATTTTTTATCAATATCAATTTGTATGCAAAATAATTATCTTTTAATGATTGTTATTATCATTACAATAAGCATAAAAAGTGAAAGACAATAATTCCTTGGCACCTTGTCCTACAGACAATATTTCTTGATAAAATATTTTAAATTCTTATTAACATTTTCAACACATTAAAAATATTAAACACTTTTCAATCCCCTTTCGTGAAATGTTTTACTTTCATCTTTCAAAAGATAATCGCAATAAAGGGCTAATACTTTTAACTGCCACTTTTAGGTTGATATTCTATCAATAAAATGGAATGAAATAAAACGTTCTGGGGTGGTTAAATACAAGTGTTAGTTTGAATATTCTAGCACATTCACCTTTTAATGTTTCACATACAACATGTTGTAGATAATGTATATGTACAAATAACTTTTTTATAGTACTCATATGAAGTAATACTGTTGAAATAATTTGGTCAGAGAGTGGAAAATCACTTCATCTTCACATACATACTCTGAACACAACAATTATATATAGTACAGCACAGTAAATAAAACAATTTTTCTCATCCATCTTCAAAAAAAAGATTATAGTCAGTACCTAAACACATTTTACTGTGCTGATGTCTTGACTCGAGTGTGCTGCCACTGATAACAATAAATAATAACATTTGTACCAAACCAGGAGCTGTATTTTCAAAACACACATATTTAACAAGTACAACTAATGTGACATGACTCCTGCATCAAGTCAGGGCTTTGGTACTTATCACACAAAAAAATTAAAGAAAAAGGATTATTCAGGAAAAAATATTAGGCTATATATTATTTTACAAAGACTTCAGAGGTGTAGAAAAGTACCACCGGGACAAAGGAAGGAAGTTCAAACATTCAAGACAAGTTTGTCCATTAATGCCATTTTTTTTGGACACTTCAGTGCCATTGCACTTCCTGTAGGTTAATTGCTATGGATATTTGTTTAGAGCTGTAACCCTTTTTTTTTTTTTTTTTTTGGGAAGACTGCAAAGACTACAGCATCTTCACATATATGCAGCATTTTTTGCAACCAATACTTTCAAACAGTCTTTAGGAAATTTCCTAGAATCGTTTTGGTTTTGGTGGACGCGCTGGCGGTGGCGGTGGTGCTGGCATGCTGGGAATGTCATCATAATTCTCCTCTACTGGCTCCTTGACTGCACTCTCCGTCTGCTCTGGTGCTTCTTCTTCACCACTTCTTACTCCTTTGACTATGTTCTTTGAGAACATTTGCTTAATAACCTGCAGATTAGATAACAAAATTCAGAGTTTAAATTTTCTATAAACTTATGTGGAAGCCATGACTTCTAAAGTAAAACAGTAAGCAAAACCAGCTGAAATAACTAAGTAAGACCAAGGTTGGACTTACATGTGTAATTTATCCAAGATCAAGAACATCTATTATTTTTAAACTCATATTATTTGCCACAGAATCCTTTCATATCTGATCATTTATATGTACAAATAGCTTCTTTTTTCATAGTATTCACATGGAGCAAGGTTCTTTCACTTCTTTAACAGTATTACTACTCACATCATCGTAGCCTCCACCCCTAGGTCTCCGAGGTGAGGCAGGACTCCTCACAGCACCTGTCGTCTGCTCAACTACTGTGCTGCCCTCTGCAGGATTTGTGGTTGCGAAGGGGGTTGGTGACATTCTTGCCCTGACTTGGGGCTTGGCAGGAGGTGGCGGTGCTTGTTCTGGTGACAGTGACGTAGTTGTGGGTGGTGAGGGTGTAGGTCTAGCAGGTACCGGGGGTGAAGTGGTGTCTGATTGGGTGTGTAGCTGAGGTTTGAGATCTTTTGGTGGTGGTGCAGGTTTCTTGGGAATGTGAGGGGGCATGGGGGATTTGACTCCAGGTTTGGGGGGTCTAGGAGGAATGGGCAGGGAAATGTCCGTTTCCATCAATTTCTGTAGCTTTTCAGCTGATTGCTGAAGTGCAATGGTGAATAAATATTAGAAATGTGCATGCAATGAAATTTTTCACTAATTTAATATCACACATGGTTTTGAAAGTGTTAGCAAAGCAATTATAAACACTCTAGTTCCAATTTTCTTTCTTTTCAATTATATTTTCATCATTATATTTACTAATTTATAAATACATCTTCATGTTTCATTTATACCTTCTTTTCAATTTCATTTCAAATACCTTAAATTAAAAATTGCCCAAAATTTCAGCACTGTTTTTGTTATTAACCTCCTTCATCCCATGGGGTGATAGCATGCAATCATTTTTCCAGCATCTGACCATAATTTCATTTGAAAGTGCACATCTAGACAAAGTTGTATTTGTGTTAAAAAGTTTGTTATCCAACTTACTCTGTGACTTGCTTCTTTCCCTGAAGCTTGGGGGGAACACTGTTCCTCTTCGATTGGCGCCATTGGATCTCCAATACTCTGTTAATTAAGAGGGAATAAATCTTACAATATACAAATTTATTGTGAGATAAATCAGAGGTCCATACTGTTAATTTTATTCATTCTATCAATTTTCTATTTCAAATTTTAATTTAATTTTAAGTTAAAACTGTACTTTCAGTTTCCAACAAATATTTATCATTTTCTTTACATACTGCAATTTCATATTATTATAAATATAAATTGCATTATATAATGAAGGAAATCTGTTAACAGTTAGGGTGTAATTCACAATGGACACTAACTTACACCTTTTCTTCAGTTCATAACTAGCTGATGTTGTGTTAGCTGTGATTTTGTTAGGTATGATTGTGTTAGGTTTGACAGTGTGAATGTGTGTGTTCAGACAAGGCCTACTCAAAGCCAACAGCTTGTCTAATGAGATGGACTGGTTAGATCGGGGACATACTTGTAACTAGTCTAAACAGACCTTCAGATGAGGCACCGTGTTAACATGAGTATTTAAATTAATAAAATAAAATTATAATAATATCAATAATAAAAGTTAGGTGAAATGGAGACTGTTACTCATAACCAGATGATATTGCGTTAGGTGTGAATGTGTTCTGTGTGACAGTGTGAATGTGTGTGTTCAGACAAGGCCTATTTGTGGCCAATCAGCCATTTGTGGCCAACGCAATTAGATAAACTGGTTAGATCAGGGACATACTTGTAACTTGTCTAAATTACAGACCGTCAGATGAGGCACCGTGTCAACATGAATATTCAAATTAATAAAATAAAATTATTCTAACATTAATTATAAAAGTTAGGTGCAAATAATGTTAACTACCTCTGATAGTCTAGTTTTTTCAGTAGAAGGGTGACCCCATCTTGGGGGATCTGTGCCATGTACCTCTTCACTACTGTACGAGCCACTGTCACGAACACTGGAGCGCGAGTCGTCGGAAGAAGTACCTAAAATAGAACATTATGTGTCACTATAATACTGGAGTCTTGACAATTGACTAGATTATCAACAGTCATTACATTTATGTACACCATGCCAGGCTATCCCCCTACCCAAGGTTCTAAAGCATATAGGAAGACACAGTGCCTCATCTAGAAGTTCTGATTATAAATTTTTGTGTTACAAGAAAATTTATCAATTAAAAATAACTGATTTGGGTATTTTGGAGATTTTAATCTTACTTTCATTAAAAAGAAATTTGATACCAGTTCACTGGCAGTTCATTAAGGAAACATTTCTCTCTTGGGGCAATAACTGGAATGTTTTTCTGGAAGGTTTTGTACCATAAGCCCTCAATCATCATTCAATATTTCTATAATATCAAATCTGTTTTATTATGAAAAAGATACTGGGACAATGTGACTAAATGACAGCCATCAAGACAACAGATACTGGGACAAAGTGACTCAATGACAGCCATCAAGACAACAGATACTGGGACAATGTGACTCAATGACAGCCATCAAGACAACAGATACTGGGACAAAAAAAAAAATGCTCCAAACTGCAACATAGGACATGTAATGTTTAATAACAGATTGAAAAGATAAGCAGGTGTTCTCAAAAGAACAGCAAGGTTGGTAGTAGAAAAATAAAAGCAACAATAGGAGAAATCATCAATCTAAAAAGAAGACCAGTGCCTTCTCATTGAAACACTGAAGGGGACAAAAGACAGGAAAGAGCTGGCTTTATAAAAGCCACTGTTAACTATAACGGAAACATCCAGTCCTTGAACAACACCATAAAAGAAAACTCAGCATCTGTCACAATTGATTACAGAGTAGGGGCATGCTAAACTTGTTCTAAAATGTACTTACCTTTCAAATCCGTTAGACTATAAAAGGGGACATAAAAGTTGCAAAAATATATTTTTTGTCTGTATCTTTTATTTGTGCTTTGTAATTGTGTAGAGAAGTACTGGCTGATACATGGTGATAGCAATGACTGTATCATTTGTACTTGGTAATAAAAAACTCATATAAAAATAACCACATTTACTTGAGAGAACAGTTTCATTAGCTCTGTATGTTTCAATTCAAATTGTTGTTTTTCTTTTTATCAAGAGCTTGTAAAATATGTGGGTATTACCTCCAATATTTCTGTGACTGTCGGTCACTATCATCAGGGAGTAAATGACTAGGGTCATTTCACCTGGAATGAGAATCCAGGTCAATTGCCCCTAATTATTTGAAATGACCCTAGTCATTTACTCCCTGATGATGGTGACTGACAGTCACAGAAACATTGGAGGTAATACCCACATATTTTACAAGCTCTTGATAAAAAGAAAAACAACAATTTGAATTGAACACATTTACTTGCTTCATTAACTTATTAGCACAAAAACTATACATAATCAATCCAAACTTACTGCTGTTGCTGGATGTGCTAACTCGGTCCTGTTGCAGGCCTCTGGTAAACTTCTGCTGCATGTCTACCTTTGTTATGTTCCTGATCTGTAACAGAAACATTGCCAATTCTGCAGAGATTGATACGAAATAATATTATGCCATATCACAACATTGGTTTTCAAAAATAATTTCTATAAATAGTCAAAGAAAAAGGAAGATAGAATCATACCTCTAGACTTGATGCTGATGCTAACTTTTCAATTGTAGGGAGACTCGGCTTGCTTTTCTTCTTAGTAAACACATTAAACATGGATTTCTTGGTCTTATCACACTTTTCCATTGCTTTTTGATTTTGGTTCTTGAATTCTTGCAACATATCCTAATAAAAGACAGACGTATGTCATATGAAAAAAATAGCATGATAAGAGTTCTGAAGAATGTTTAACCAAATTGACTGAAATGTCAGTGAGCTGTCATCCTGTCCTCAGCTATTGTATTCCACTGAAGTTTCTTAGTTTTGCCACCCACTGGGGGTGGTTATAGAAACAAGCAGCACATGCTGTATATACAACACTTCATCAAGCCATCATAACTTCACCATCAGCTGATTTTAATGGCAATTCATTAAATTTCATTTTGTCAATATTTAACCCCTACATCACATGAGAATACAATACATGTAGATCGAGCAGAATATGATAGGATAGAACACAAATACCTTAAACTTAACAAAAATAGTAATAATGATAATAATAATATACTTTACCTTTCTTTCCTTAAAGGATTTTGGTGGACTTGCGTATCTCTTATTCCAGTCTTCAAACAGGAGCGTCACGTCCTCCATGCTGAGGTCGCCTCTCTTGAACTCCTCCTGGATGTCCTTCAGTTGCTGGAGACTGTTGGACTCTGGACTGACCAGGGAGACTGGACCTACAACAGGACAGCATTGCGTTAGGTGTGACCTGAACAACCAGTGATAACAATAATAATATAATCCTGGATTTGATTCCAAAACAACAACAGGATGGCATTGCGTTAGGTGTGACAACAGGGTGCACTATTAGTCTGTTACAAAAATGTTGAAAAGCACCCTGTGATATTTCGAGCAGTCAATGGGAAGGTGTGACCCGACAATGTTACAGATGTGACAGTGCTGTAGATGTGACAGTGTGTTAGATGTGACAGTGTGTTAGATGTGACAGTGTGTTAGATGTGACAGTGTGTTAGGAGTATCAGCGTGTTAGATATGACAGTGTGTTAGATGTGACAGCGAATTGTGTTCATTCCCACCTCTCCTTTGTTGCACAGCCATTATGCCACCAGATGGCTCTGACGCCATTTTGGACATGATAGGAAGGGTTGCACTACTGGCAGCTCCAAACTGAGTGTCAGCATACTCATAGTCTACGTCTGGACTCTTCAGAGAGCCTGGCCGTCCTGTAAACATGTAGGAAAATTGAGTTAAACAGGTGCTTGTATATTCCAATATATTTGTTTATATATACATGTATATATGATAACTTGCTCAAAGGATAATATTCCACACAAGCACACATTTTATACTTTATAACTTACAGTAATTTTAAAATGTTAAAGTTGTGCATAACAAAAGAGCAAAATAAAATTCATAGTAGTAAAATCATAACCACAATGCCATATTCTTTCCATCCTTGCTGGGGTAAACCCTGACTCTTTACTGCATATGATACTAAATATATTTCAAAAGATATTTCCAAAAATCATTGAAATAATATCAAAATGTTTTCAATTTGATAACCTTAAAACAAAATATTCTTTTCTAGAAAATGACAAGCACTTCATATGCTTGGCAGAATTCAACCAATTCAGGCGCCTAAACTTATGAATAAAACTCACCAAATTTAGCTTTGAATTTATCAAATTTTGTCTGCTTTTTCCCCAATTTCAGAGTGTGTATATATGGAAGAGATTGTGAACGGGTTTTCATCCCAACCACATCTTCTACATAAGGAGTACTTGGCTCAGAATTAGAGTCAAGCTGCGTAGGTTCTACATTGTGCACACTAACCGGGAGCTCGGATGGTCTATCTTTACCTCTAGCTAGAAAGCAATGTTAGCAGCAAACAATGCATCACTTCAGATACATTTCTAAAGTTTGATGAGAAAGAGCAGGTGACATCACTTATTTATTGTTTTCTCATTAAATCAAAACCAAATCAAAATTAAAAAATTTACAATGCATTAAATCAAAGCAAGTGAACCGTTGCCACTGATATGTTTCCTCTGTCATGATAATACAAAATAATTTAAAATTTCCAAAAGATGATGTCAACTACTTCTCTCAACCATGCTCATTAAACAGTGTAACTAATCCAACTGGCATCAAAAAATGATCACATTAACATAGGTTTTAAACAATGGTCTCTATGGGAGAGGTGGGGTGGGGGTGGGGGTGGGATCCCATGTGATCTGACGATGTCATTAAGACTAGTAGGGGTTTAACTGAGCATGGCCCTCTTTGAGTAGAAGAGCACTTTCTGATTTGAGCTACAGCTACCAACACATTTAAAGCTGTTACTGTTAAACTGCAACACAAATACCCACTACCTAGTAAGTACAATAAAATATTAAACACATGCTTAATGAATATATAAATATATTTGTTAGTATTAGTAAGTTATCATTTCAGTGAAAAAAAAGCAGAGTCTCGTAAATACAAACCAGGTGGCAGCAGAGGTGGGTCACCTGCAGGCGGCGCCACTGTTGCCAGAGTAGGAGGCAGAGAGGAAGGAGGAGGCATGGTGGGCGAACTCGAAGGTGAATGTCCTGTGAATATGTCAGAAGATACAACTTATTGGAATATCTCTAACAAGTCATTAAATGAATAAAATAAAAATTAAAGAAGACACAGCAAACACAAAGAGTGCAAAGATGTATCATGTCAAAGCAATAGATCAGTACTTGCAAAGAAAAATAATAATTAATACGGAATAAAAAACATGGAATAAAGAACCCCCTCTTTGAAACTGCTGGCTACTGGCCTGATATGTGATAATCAAGCAGTATAATAGACCAAAATTATCTCTGATGATTTCTATAGTATGTGGTAGCACCTCTCATTGATATGTAGCCTGGGATGACAGGGGAGCCACTGGCATCAGGGACATCAGAGTACACCTCTGGGGAACCAAGTGGAATAGCCACAGGAAATGGACGATCATAACCAGCATTGCCTGAAATAATGTATTCCGTATTTGTTTATTGAAACAAGCGTGTGTTTGATACAATGACTATGATGTTACAAAAGAATGCAAATTTCAAAGGAAAATAATAAATTACAATAGTGTTAATAGTACAAAGAGTTCTGGTACATGTGTCAACAGATTTAATGACATAAGAGATACCAATAAGTGAATCTGTATGAAAAGTACATGTGGCTAAGCTATACATACCTCTTATGTACTTCATGTCATCATACATATGTCTTCCACCATGCATTGTCATATATATGTCATCAACCACTTCTTCAGTTGACTAGAAAATATCAGAAATGGAACTGAAACTTTGGTATATAGATCCAGTATTTGATTCTGGTTATATGAACAATGGTGTTAAGGTATCTGTATGTGAAACTGTATTGACACTATTTGCTTATATTGACTAAGGCCTTTTTTGAATTGAGTGGTACATGTGACCGTACTGGTATGTTTTGAAAGGTCTTAACATGTATAATTATGGTAATGGCTTGATAATTTCAACCAGGAAAATTGTGCCTTTTTAAAATACTGTATACATATAGTATTTTTTAAGAAATAAATTATATAAGATAAATAAAGTCTGTATAGATACTGTATTTTTAAGCTATAAATTCTTAAAATTAGAACATTCCTATTGAGTGATAGCAACACAATTGAAAAGGAAACTACTTAATTCTGCTATTCTGTACAGAATTTTTTTTAGTGATAACAAAATTATCATTTATACCTGAAAAATTGATAATTTTTCCTGGATGAAATGATCGAGCCAATTCCATACACTCCCATTACAAGTTCTTCAACTATTCTTAAATTGACAGTGTCAAACATGGGGACTCTGTTTAGTTGTCTCCCTTATGTAATATCGAGACTATTAAGTCATCGTTCTCGCAAAGTTGACCAGTCCAGTTAAATCTACCACTGGACATGAAAAGAATTATGGCCGGTTGTGCTGGTTGTCACAATGTCACAACATTATTACAGGGCTCATTGTGTTAGGTGTGACACTATAGCATATCCCATACTCACAATAAACTCCTCCATCAACTCAGCCAGTTCTTCATGACCTGCTTTCTCAGCTATCAAATTTGGATAGTCGCCATCGCAATTCTCTACGTGGAAGGCCTCCCTCGCGCCCGGGCAACTCAAAAGGAGGTTGCACAGCTCCTTGAGTCCAAATTTGGCAGCGAAATGAATGAGGGTTGGGAGTTCTTTGCTGCTTTTCTCTTCTAAAAATGAAGTACGTATTAGTTTTATAATTGTGCAGTTGTCAAATTATGTTAAATAATTGAAGCACTACACATTCTAAATGTATCAAAATGTATAAACAGTAACAGTAAAGAACTGAATATAATCAGTTTTGATTAAGAATTACTATAAATACAAGCAAATATATATAAACCTTTCATATTCTGAAATTGAGCTCCAAGTTAATTAAAAGAAATTAGATCATATCCATTTCTCACAAATATTTCAATGGAGACTAAGTTTCTATTTTCATATGAAAAATCACGTCTTCATAATAAACATCCATACTTATCACAGTAGTTGTTCATGATTGAAATGATTCATCCCCTACTCAGATCTGATCAAATATCTGCTATCCTGGTATTTTTGGTATTATTTTCTAAGCTTATGTAAATACTAGGTATATTCATGACTCTGACCTTTAGTCTCCCTTTGAAGAAAGTATTATCATATTTTTTTTCATGCAAAACAATTCCTGTTAGAAATCCTTTCCTGAACAACTTCCTGGTTTTAGGGTTGTAAGTGCAAATGTCATATCTTTTGAAAACAAGTGGAAACATTGGAATGGCAGCAACCCTGACATTTAGCTCATGTTTAAAGAAACAGTTCATTGTTGTTACAGTAACTATACATGCAAAACATAGGCGCTGTAATTATTTGCTGAGCTACTTCCTGGTTTTTGGGTGTTTGTTCAAATGCCAATAATTACTACGTACTAACTTTCACTTAATGAAAGCCCACAGATTCACTTCGGAAGGTTGTCTAAAATTTTTTAAAGTTTATAAGCATTTATATGTAAAGGCATACAAGGACACAAAAATCATACCATCAAATAAATTCCATTCATTCATTTGGAGGCATAAAGATAACCAAAAGCATGCATGTCTAGATATTCACATGATATTTTATATATTTCACATTACATATTATTTTGTTCATGTGAAAATTAAGAATATATATTCACTGTCTATAAAATTCATGCTGTTAGTAGTACAAGGGTATCATGAAGTGAATTTTTACTCAACCTTTGGTTTAAAAATCTAAGTGCCCACCAAAAATTTACAGAATGGAGCATAAAAACCTGTCGGCATTAGTATAAACTTTTGCATCTTTCTTATACCTGAAAACAATAAGTAGCCAAATTATCCGGATAATTTTTTTTTTTTTTTTTTTTTTTTGTTTTGTTTTTTTTTTATCATGAAAAAAAAAAATGAGGTGGGTCCCAAAACACAAGGAAACAACCAACACAATACTATCTCTACCAGTCTCACCAAACACAATCCCTTACCCTGCTGCTGTCGATAAGACTGGAACAGTCCTAGCATTCCCTGCTCAGGCATAGCCTTTTGGAACATTTCAGACAGTGCCTGGTCAACTGCCTCAGTGTTAGCACTGTCCACACCCAGAGCACTGCTCAGGAGGGACAGAGGGGTTAGGGTTACTTGTAAGAGGGCGGTCAGCTCATCTAACTGGGTCAAGAAGTCCACACCCTGTATACCCAGGCATTTGCCTTCATCATAAATGGCAAAGTTGATAGTCCCTGATTGGACATCATCTGAAATAAAGGATTGGTACCACTGTCACCAGCTGCCAAGGATATTTTTTTCAGGTGTTACATCTAAATTATTTATTTATTTATCTATTTACCTAAAATACCACCTTGAAAATATCAATAAAAAACAATCAAAAATTAAATTACACAACAAAAAAGAAAAAATATATAATAATATATAAAATAAATATATATAAAATATATAAAACTTCATAGAGTATAAAAGAAAATTTTAAAGCTTTAAAGATACATTTTACATTGTATCTGTGGCAGTATGACCAACATGACTGCCTGTATCTAATTCTCTTCAAAACAAGTCACATCTTACAGTTGGGTACAGGGCTGTACTGGTATTATATCAATACAAACTGAATATCATCTTCTGAACATTAAGCTCTGAATGTATCTGAAATTATTATTGTAAATGAGAGCCAGAAACTCATTCTCACAGAACTTATCATTTTCACACCTTATAAGTCTAATAAGTTACAGGTAATTCAACAATTTTAATTACCTGGAAGGATGATCTTGTATGTCAGCACATTGATCTTCTTCTTCTGAATTTCTTCTCTTCTATCAGGATACTGAATGTAAACTTTGGGATTGCTGGGCTGACTGTGGAATGTGGCAATGATGTCATCTTTGTTCTAAAAAAAATTTTTTTTTCAGGTTTTGAAAATTAAAAATATACAATTATAAACTGATCTGTGTTTTTAGTTACAATGATTGTGTTGAGGTAACCAGTAAATTAAAACTGTAGGAAATGAAAAAAGAGAACACAGACTGTCAAGTACAGTACTTTTCATAAGAGTTGACCATGATATCTAATCAATTTGCTCTAAGAAAGTCTTTTTATTATAATCAAATCTTGAAACCCCTATACTAGTACCTGAAAGTTCAGCTGTTTGGGGTATATCCTAAATTGTGCTTTTCCAGAGTCAGACTTTTTTCTTTTGGATTTCTTTTCCATTGACCTTTTTGGCCGGCTGGTCTCTGCACTTTGATTTGCAGGTGGTTTTGCTGTACTTCTGGGGGACTGCATTTCTAAATACAGGGGGGCCTCATCAGAGACTGTTGTGTTACCCATCTCAAAATACAAAGCGTCCTCATCTACATGCTGCTTGTCAACTTCAGTATGTGTTTTTCCTTCATCAGGAGTTAACCGTCCGCTGTGAACAGTCATGTCCATATAAGAAGAATCAGGCATGCTTTGAGGCGTATTTTCAGCCACATTTTCATAGTTTTCACAATTCTGGGCATCTACTGTTTCAATGACTTTTGCCAACAAATTTTTCTTGACATCACATGGTGTTTCTCCAACCTCATACACTTTTGTCCAATGAGAAAAACTTGGAATTTTTTCTGCGTGACAGTCTTTAACGTCATCCTGATCTACACCTAAATACACTGCAATCCCCTTGTGTGGATTCTGAAACAAACTTTCAAAATCATCCAGTGGGGTTTCCTCTAGGAACTGCAAAGTCTGTGGGGATAGTATGAACACCTGGGCCTTTGCTTGTGCAATGCTGCTGACTAGTTTGGGGTGCAGTGGAGGGGTCAGCTCGTCCAGCGAGGCACTGTAGATCTTAGACTTCATGTCAGCATCTATACCCTCCAACAGACTTTGTATGAAATCTACCCATTGCTGTGCATCATAAGCATATATCAGCGCTATATCATACGCCATATCTGAAAAATGTAATATGTCTTAATTAGCTGAGATAGCAACTGGCATCAATTTTAACTTCAAATCATCTACTTTATATCACAAAAGAATAAAATTCTTTAAAAATTCATCCATTTTCCTGGAAACTAAAAAGACTTCCCCTTCACCACTGCAGTTGAAAAGAGGAGACAGTATATTCTGTAAAAAATGTGTTTTTGATAGCAGAAAAGAAGCTGTGCACTGATCACACTTGCAAACTCCACAAAGAACTGAACTACCAAACAGATTTTCCTTTTTCCTCCTAATTGTTTTCCTTGAAACCCATCCATGCTGTAGTCCAAACAGAAACCTGAGAGCAGAACGAAGGATACTCCATTTCTGAAGAACTCTATCCTGCATCTGTGCGGCAGCCATAATACAAGTACACTTTAACTTCTGCTTACATTTTACCCAACTACGTGGCGTGCCATGATGATAGGCAAACTGCACGCCAATAATTTGATGGCATGATTTGATTTGCCTCCTCTTACTCACACATAGCCACAAATTATTCTCATTGTAGACTAACAGCTGATAAGTGTTTACCCCATTTAGTTTAACCAGTGAATGGGAATATAGATATAATCAATTATCATACATGTAAGTTTTCAGCAAAACATCAAGACTTAATCACCTCCTAGTTATCTGATTACTTCAAAGCCATTTTCAAATCAATATGGAAAAAAAATTTAAGCAAAGGGAACGTCACCAAGTGGCACCAATTATTGTGGGTAGATATCACCTACTAAAGTACAGTAACCACTTATACTGAACAAGAAATCCAACCAGAATCAATTTCCGTAATTTTGATATTTGACATCAATGGCTTTTTTTACTAATAAATATTCATATTTTTCTACTGGCATCAGTGAATTTTAACGAATATTTTGGACATTTTTTTGAAAGTCTGTAAAATGAAATACTAGCATACTGTTGGAGAGAGTAATGCAAAGCATCACACAGCCATTAGTACATTACTTACAAGTGTAAACAAACTGGAGACTGCAGTCACACGCCTCCCAAAAGGAAGGCATTAACAAATATTAAAACAGAATGCTAATGTTGATGTTCCCTACTACCTGAGTATCCATGCATATTATGTAGCGCCATACACCCATTAAGCATGGCATACATTTTATTTCAGCGAAATGTCTGAAAAAGTCTATCAAATCTGACCTTTGACCTTCCCACTGTCAGACAGATAATAATTCCATTACTAACATCTAAATACAAGACCAATCTTCACGAATTTTATCTAGAGTTTACAAGTTATCATACCTTTCAGTTTTATTTGAGTCGTCAAATCATAATTTTTTTTTTATTCCCTGTCTGTTCTAAAACTGTTCTAAAACTGAGAGATACATGTATGTATATGCTACCTATCTCTCGCGTTTGTTTGAAGATGGTTTCAATGACAAAAAGTACACGCTTTTCAAATGCGTACATTGACGCAACTATGCGCCAGGAAATCAGTTGCTGCTGCTGGTTAAGATTGGGTTGCCTGAGCGAAAAAAAAAAAAAAACGGCCCTGCACCCCCCCCCCAAACCTAGTATATTTGATCGCAGACAACAATCAGCGGTCATCTTGGCCAATCTGCGGTCGTAGTGGCCTCCCCGCACGGAGGAGAGGCCGTGGTGCCGAGGCCGGCTTCTGCAGGGAAGGCTACGTATGTGTCGGAGACACCGACCCGCGAACGGCGAGATGAGGACGCATTCGCTCGTAAAGCTCCGCCCGACTTTAACGGTAAAGGCAACGAACCTGGTCGCGGAAGACACTTATCGCAGATGAAGGCTACCTGCACGTGCGCCATAGACACTGATCGGCTGTCGTCTCGGTTTCAGTGCACGGAAAGGAGCAACGGTAACACTAAGCTTCCATAGTAAAGGTTATCTGGCCGTGGCAGACGTTAATTGTCGGCCGTCTCTCCCTCCGTCCACTCCCATTCTGAGCGCCAGGATCGTTTTTGAAAAACGACACTAGTTTCTGGCTGCCAGAATCGCTTTTGAAAAACGACACTACTGATAACGCTGCTGTTTTGCGGCCCTAGACAACAGTACCGCTCTATCTATGGGCTATACACAGTGATCGGGTGAAAGTACGTGAAAACCTTTGGTCGCAATTACCGACACTCACATATCATACATTATGGTAACTCTAAATAGATCAACGGGAGAAGATAACAGAAGGCCTAGCGACGAACAGACAACTTCCGGTCAAAATTGACAGAATTCCATGAAATTCGAACTTTCAGAAGTTCTGAGCACCTCCATTTCATGAATTTCGGCCAGAACGATCTTTTCCCAAATTTAATTATTTTCTACTGTTCGAAATTCATGGCACATTACCGTAGCTTCTTATCCATTTTAAACCTCATTTTCTATTTCAACAACAGCTATTTTCAGAAAAGAATCTATTTGCCCTTACTTTCCCATCTCTGTGGCACGTTTAATTACAAAAATAACATTCCATGTGCACCCCACCAGTATAAATCATGCTTCTGTAGTCAATTTCTCTTGTCGCTGTGGTCTACAAAATTATCCATAAAATCTGCATACTTTCTCATACACATAATTCTGCAGTACATTAAAATAATATACTCCTGTTGGAGGTTATGACTAACTGAGATCGGTGGCAAGATGTGTCCATCAAATCATGTTCAGTATGTTATCAGGAAGATATTGACTCACCTGAAGTCATCAGCATGGCAATATAATACCTGTCCTGGTGTTTATACATTATAAATATATAGGCTGAGGTCAAAGTACAAAAAAATTATAATATAGTAGATTAACCAGCTTCTGCTGATACCAGTATGTGATAGAGTGCAGTGGCAGATTTAGGGGAGGTGTCAGGGGGGTCCTGAACCCCCTTCAATTTCTGAAAAAAATCACACCAAAGGCCCCCCTCTTCAAATTAGAATTTTGACTAGTTGAATCATAGTTCTAAACTGTACCAAATGGCACCAATGTGCCTCTAAAAAAACATTTTTTTTGGCCCTTCAGCAGCCCCCGAGGCCCACACCAAAAGGGGGGGGGGGGTTTGGCCTCGCAATTGCAGACTCCCCACTGGATCTGCCCCTGTACATCAGTGGTGGTAAGAAATGCCTTCCAATACCTATATACATTCACACACTATAAAAATGCATATGCATACTTATATACATAATACACATGTAAACAAAACACTACATAATTGAACACACATACACAAGCACTACAATGTACACAAAAAAAAAAAAAAAAAATACTCGCCAACAAATACTTGCAAGACAAGTTGTGCTCAAAAACACAAATTAAAAGTTTTGTTTTAATCTGGGACTTAAACGCTTCACTTCAAATATTTGGATATTTATAGTAATAATTTGGCTTAATTAGTCTCTTAGGTGATCCTGTGTTTACTACTGTCTTAAAAATCTTCTTTATGTTAAATTCCAATTTATAAATAGACCAAAAAAAAAAAAAAATACCCAGGAATGTGCATGTGACTTAAAGTCATAATTATTCTATGTCTGATAACTGAATTTATATTCCTGACTGGAAAATAAAATAAAGGAGATATGTGGTATCAGGCATGTATATACAGAGTAACACTCTTAAACATATTCCTGTCTGTGCCTGGTGCTTAGTAAGATAAAAGATTTCCATCATTCAAAATATCATTTGTAAATAGTTACTGACAGATTCAGGCATGTACATAGTGACAGTCCTAAAATGTACAAGAGTCTGTACCTGGCGCTAGTTACAAAAAATATTTCCATCATTCAAAATGCCATTTATAAATAGTTACTGACAGATTCATTTCTATTCCCCATTGTAAGTACTGGTACAAAAAGTGTAGTGTAGAGGGAAGACTTCCTGGTTGCTTCACCTTATCCCTTGAGGGGAAGAGAAGATATGATAGAGTTTAGATTTGAGAGACTAATTTACACAAAAAAAGAAAGTTTTTACATCATAATAAGTACTAGTAGGTAAACCAAGAATAGAACTGTATAATGACTATATGCAAAACAGAATATAAGTTGAAAAGCATTGGAATTTATATCTTTCATGAGCTCCCCCTCCTCTCCCCAAAATTCATGACAAGACCACTTCCAATTCATGTTTATCAAGGGGACTTCCCTTGGTAAAGTTTAAAGTACTTTTTGAAGAATTATACTCTTTTAACATGCCTGTCCCTCTTTACCAAATCTGCATCCATTTTTTTCACAATATAAAATTTAATACATTAATATAATAATAATATCTGTGAAGTGTTAAGGCTTTAACATATAGTGAAGATAGAGAGCATCAGTCAATATACATGTACATGCATGTAGTAGAAGTAAGGTCTGATTAAACTACTAGTAATATACTATAGACAACTGACAGTTAATGGTTTCTGTGCTTATACTAAAGATATACTATTGGGGGTGGGCAGGGGGGTGAATCCAAGCCAAGAACTAGTGTTTCTGAAAATATGCATTTCCTTATTTGTACAGATCATGTTGCCAGTAACATGTACTTATAACATATATAATCTCGTTACTGTTTCCCTAAAAAAATTGATCAAACATTAATCAATCACAACATTAGGGATATGCCAAGCACTATACCTTTGTACAATTCTTTGATTGTCATATAATCCTCCTCTTCTGCCATTTCCACACACTCCTCTACTTAACAAGATAGAACTGAACCACGGCACAATGCCATTGAAATGAAGTAGTGAGAAAAATAATCCACAAACAATCCCATGATCCAGAAAAATTCATGAGTAAGCCAAGACCCAATTGTCTGTAGAAATCTATCCTACACCAACTTGAGTGTGTAGGCTTTCCACAGCTCTTAACATAAGTCACTATACTTATGTACAAACCGTTTTAACACAGACGTCTCTGCTGTACAATGTACTACTGAATAGTAGTTACATGTTGAATCACATCACTGTAAAATGGCATCTGTGTCACATACTCTGATATCTCAACTAGGAAGTTCTATGCACTGA